GTACTTAGATATGATTGTATTTAGAGTGTATTATGGCTCTTCAACTAAGTTTATTTAGATAAATTAATTTTTTTATGATGATGATGGAAACGCCAAGCATTGGTTGCGTGTTTGTCACCCTGCCATCAAAATTTCACGATATTGCGCCATTCAATCGCCTGGGGAGAAAAATGACATTGATGTGCCTACAAGAAAAATCATGCCCTGTCGTGGGATAAAAGTCGGAAAATCCAGGAACCAGGAAACTGATGGTTTGCCTAGAATCATTTTTACTGAGGCGGAAACCTCTTCTTTAATCCAAATTATAAGTTGTAAGAGGTTGCCCATTGTATTCCTTCCCATGCAGTACATTGTTATAAAGGAAACATACTACAGTAAGACAATTATTGGTGGGGCTTCAGAAACCCCCCCAAGCCCCCCGGCTCCGACGGGCCTGAAAAATGTGATTGCAACAGGGCTACATGTACAGATTTACACTATGGCATGCACATCTATTTGCAACAGTGTGTCTGTTGTGATCGAATGTATAGGCATGCTTTACTATTTATTTTTCGTCCCGATCCGGGGTCGATAGATTCTCTCTGTCCGTTGGCAAATTCACAAAGCCTCCGAAACAGACGAAGACATGATTGACGGCCTCTTGATAGTTCTAGCCCACACGAACTTCAGAGAGTTGGATTATAAACGCCCCCATGTGGTATTTACTAAACAATTAATTCACATTTCCGCTTGTTCCTGGGTTGTTCTGCTTGTTCCTTGGTTGTTCCGCTTGTTACTGGGTTGTTACTGGGTTGTTCCGCTTGTTACTGGGTTGTTCCGCTTGTTCCTCGTTTTAGCAACGTCGATGCTGTTGTATTGATTGGTAGAAATTTACTTTCTGAACAGAAATGTGCGTCTTCCTTATTTTGATGTTTACACATCAATAATGAATACATTTTAATGATACAGAAAGTGATTTACTAAATAAAAGTAAATAATAGACAAATAATAGAAATGTACATTAAATAAGTTGGTAAATAGCTAAAATAAAATGACAGATTGCTCTCTTTTTATTTTATACTCTGTTTTCAAAAAATAAAACGGTTGAAAACGGTAAAAGCGGTAGAAAACGGTAAGTTTTTATCTTGTAAATATTATAAAAACCACTCTGCTTACAAAAATAACCTTAGTGGCTGAGGTTTGTTGCAGTAACACAGAAAACGTAGTTTGGTTCTAACCCGGCTACCAGGGAATTTCTTTCTTTCAAGTAAAATGATGGTAATTTCTCCAAAAAAATCGTTTTGCTCCAGATTTTTTTTGGGGGGTCCAGTCCCCCCCGTCCCCTTGGGATTTACGGCCCTGATTTTCTTTCTGTTTTTGTGTAATGTGATTTAAATGTAGAATTCACAAAAATTACACTATTCTGAAGTATGAACTAGAATATTAACTAGAACTAGAATATTCATTCAATGATTCAATGGTTGCCTATCTTTGTAATATAATGTTTATGGATACATCCTATTTTGTTTTAATAGCTATTTAATTTGTTTTAGATAACATGTTATTTATTTGCAAGTTGAATTTCACTTTTGCTGTAATTTAATTCAAAGAACTAACTGTAAAAAAGTTAAGAGAGATTTTAACAGTTAGAGAAGCCATTACTTTCTTACAGTCTTGTTACTGATATTGTTACCAAGCAGAATAGGATTTGTTGTCACAGCCTTTGGTGAAAAGTTTTGTGCTATGGTGGGCTGTTGTGTTCTATTTTAAAAACATTTGACATGTTGCATCTTTGGAAATTTTATGTGGTTGATCTTATGAGCTACATGGGCCTATTGTCATACACTGCACTTTTGTTTTTGAGATGCATCTCATTTTTTGTTTTATTGATACTAAGCCAATAATGAACAAGGTTTATTGAGAATGCAACACAAGAAGTTAAAACCTTGAGATTTGAACAAGGTGGTACTAGGAACTGGAAATGCTGTCCAATAAAGTATGTTTTACATTAAGTTAGTACACACAGTAGAGGCAGATAAAATTTGTTTTTAATGCATGTTAAAATGCAGTAATTGGTATGATGTAATGTAATATGACAGGAGTTGGAGTAATGGAGTAGTCTTTCAACAAGAAAAAAGATGAGAAATGCATTTTGTTTGCTTATTTTAGCAAGCCTATTATCCAGACTAAGTTTTGATGGAATTATGGTTTGGATAAAAGGTTAATTCTGGTGAACATTCCTGTGGAAGGAAAGATTATGAAGCCAAAAAATTATATTCATTTTCTTTGGCAAAAGAAAGTGCCTCTGAAAGCTAAGCAAAGGGAAGTTTAGTATAAAGTGTTTGGCCTCAGAAGATTCAGATTTAAATTTGATGGATCTACTAAATAGACAGTCATCCCAAAGTAATTTTTCTTTCATGTATTTCCAAATGATGAACAACAAATCTGAAACAGATATACAGACTTTGACCTTGATGCAGAAATATTTTACTCTAAAGCAGTGCAATTATCATATGCCAAAAGATATTATGCATTTAAGAGAGTTAGCATCCAGAAAGAAGTTGACTAGCCTTAGCAGTCCACTTTTGTTACTAGAAAAGGTTTTTGCCCAATTCTTTGTCAAAGTTTCTATGATTTATATACTCTGAAAGTGCCTGTATTTTTAGTAATTTCATTGGTCAACTTTCGTAATAATTCTCTTCTATGATGTGTCTTGTGCCCTTAAATTTTTATCAATAATTTGGATGTCCACAAAACTACACTTCTTTCTATAAAATTCCACATGTTAAACCATTAGAAAACCAAGCACAATTTGCCACACACATTTTGTCTTGATCTTTGTGTTATTTTTCCCTGCATTACCCAATTTTAAGTTACTAGTGTTGCTATGCTTATTAAGTAATTCTGTAATGTTGCATCATTGTTTATGGGGCAATAATATGAGGGGGCAAGCCTATTTTTTTGATAAGATGACATCACATTTGTCCATTCTTTTTAGAATAAAAGACCTCTGTCTTCCCAGAATGTTGGGGGACAACTACCTCCCTTTCCGGGAAATTAAATGGGCGTGGTGGGTCATAATGGGTTTTGAGAATGTCAAATTTTTGTCTGGATCCGCCCCTGAGTACACTGTATGATCACAATATCTAAAATCCCCACTCCCTGTCCATTTCATTTCACTTATTCCGAGTATGTCTAAGTTTATTCGGTCCATTTGATTTGTTACAACTTCCAACTTTCCTTGATTCATCGTTCTAACATTCCAGGTTGCAATTGTGTGGTTTTTGTTGTTGCGGAACTGCTTTGGTTTTTCATCCTTTGCAGTGTCAGCTATCATACGCCCTAATGGGTTTAGTACAACAGCTTCATTATTGCTAGAATTACTCAATCCAGAGCTGCACCCTTCCTCAGTAGCAAGTGGAGTGCCATCCGACCTGAGGGGCACATCTTCAGGCACTCTAGCTATTTTACTTGAGACTGGCATTTTCATAACATTTTCTTGGCAGGATACTGTAGTAGTTTGCCGTTGCTTTCTACAGATTGCAGTTCTCAACTAACTAGAGTTTGATTGCCGCCATTCATCTGGTCGTACCATATTTCTGCCAGCAGTCATAGTGTACGATACTTTATCATTTATTTAGCAAGACCAAATCTCTGCTAAAGCATCTCCACCCTGCTCTGTCGGTGGCGCACGGATGTAGTTTAAGTTCATACCCCAGGAACGATATTTGACCCATATCTGGGACCCTTGCAGGTGCTACCACCCCGGGTCAGGGTGGACCTGAGAGTAGTGGTAATTAAGAGGTAACTCCATTATCCCCAGAACTCTGGAGCTCCCGAACCATAGCCTTACCACCAGATGTAGTTTAAAGTCATTACCCAGGACTAAATAACGTTTTAGCCAGTATAAAAAAGTGATGCAACAAACAACTTTGGGGATACCCGTAAACCTATTTTTGATTTTCGGGGCCCTTTCTCGACGAAATGTCCCGGGCCCTAAATTTGGAGCCAGTCCGCCTCTGTAGTCTAGTGCTACAACTAGGAGTTTAACAGTCTCTTCAGATTTGATAGAATGTCCTTGAAAGTCAAGTTTTATGCCACAAGTATTTGTCTGGTCTTTTTTTAACAAAGATGGAATTTGTTCGGGTTCGCAATCATTTCATTTTGCTCGAGCCATAACAAAGTTCTGTCGGCTTCATTTTCCAAGATCCTGACAAGATCTGGCAAGAATTGGAAAAGAAAGCAAGCGTGTTGTCATCAGCATAGTTATACATGGTTGCTTGCTTTATAAAAGAGAAAAGGTCATGTAGAAATTGAAAAGAATAGGACCTAAAGCTGATCCCTGTGGTACTCCTGATACAATTTTTTGAAAGGAACTGTAGACGTCGTTTATTCGGACACTCTGCTACCGTTTTTAAGATAGAAATAGACAAGAACCAGAGCATCTTCAAAACAATTTAATTTTAGTAGGTTTCATTGATATGTTTTTAGCAATGTTTGGGCTTTAAAAACGATTTACATCGTTAGCCAACCTATAATACTTAAACCATAATACTTATATCTTGGAAAGCCCCCCAAACGGTCTGATCAACATTCAGATTAAAAGAAATCTACACCAAAATCTACCCTAGAAAAAGTGAATCTGATAAAGTCTACTTCTAAATTGTGATGCTCCCCCTCCAGCCACTGGACTAAAAAGATTGTAAAGCTGTTTCATTCGGGCGTACAGGGTGCGCCGGCTGTAACCTCAAAGCGGTTTTGAATTGGACAGATCTTGCACCGCACGCACGAATAAAATGATTCAAGTAAAAGTCGATCTGTGGTCAGGAGATGCACTATTCAGTGATTTGTCAAATATGTGATTTTTGTATTCCTCCGATTAGGCATTTTCAGAGGCCAACTTTTTATATTAGAACGTATTCTGAATTCTGAATATTCCTGCTTTTAGAGGTAGCAAGTCAGTACAGGACATTTAAGCCAAAGTGGTGGAGTGAAGGTTCTTCGGATAGAAATGCAAATAATCGTTTGTGAGACGCTCTGTAGAATAAACAATACTAATGTTATCTAATTCTTGCTGCTCAATGCTACACAATAAATATTTTTAACTGGTCATCATTCAACAAAGGCATGAAATAATTGTTTTTCGGTCAGCGCAACGACAGAGGTGCCTTAACTGTGACAAAAATAATAAATATCAATGTATTTATTTACTGAAGGGCATGGATCTTTAGGATCACTGGCCCAACCCAAAATGGTGCAACTTGTTTTCCCAAAGCAAGAATTAAAGAGACTGCTAATGCTTGTTTCTTTTAGATCCCGGCAGCTATTGGTCCAACCCTCAGATAATGGTGCCCCACATATACTTGGCGTTCTTCTGCCGTAATACGCTCCTTTTATAATTACTGTTGATCCTGGGTCACAATCAATCTTGACTGACGTTTCGTTGCAGGTCCTTTTCATCCGAATATCACCTAAAACCAGTATTTATAAAATATTATTCCGTGCAATCAAGATTAAATAAAGAGCTAAGACTGTAACTAAAAATCATCCCTTTACCTTTTTATTTGTAGTGCATTTATCTTGGTTCTTGTTCTATTTTGGTGCAAGATAGACCCCCCAATAGCCTCGTTGTTTATGAACAAGGCCCGTCATCAACTGAAACCCACATAATCATGAACAAATCGTCACAAGTAAATATCAGTTTTGTCGGTTTATATATGACGTTAAGAACAAAGGAAGATTTTTAAAAATCAGTAACAAAACGATACAAAGAGTAAACAGTACTTTTACTAATTGTGATGAGAAGGAAGCTGCTTTTCATCTTTCATGTATGGTTCCTTCATTACACATGTATATCCATTAGTTGAAGCTTGAAGGGGGTAGAATTAAGTTAATATAAAAATATATAAATTCGTCAGGCGTAAAAGCATTTATAAATCAATTTTAGTGTACTTGATTCTACCTTTCCCCAGCTTGAGTTTGTAAACGAATTCAGAAAAGGCATGCCCAGTGCATTCTGGGTTCTTGTCAAAGCATTTTGTGTAGGTCTGGTCTCCAGTGCAGCGTTCTGATTTGCTTTTGCTGACCAATGAATCCATGTGAGCTTGTGTTCTTCCGTAGCATTCCCCCCAAAAGTGAAGTGCAAAGCCAACGTATTGTTCAGGCACAGCTCTTTCTTTGTTTGCTGCTCTTACTTTCGATTCACAAGTGCATGCTAGGCTAAAACGCATTAAAATTATATGAATAATAAATTTCGTCACACAGTTCTATGAATAAGCATTTCAGAGTGGAGGGAATTGACAGTCAATCCGGTCAAACTTTTTTGCTCAAGCAATAGATCTCAGAACAGTTTTTAAAGCAGCACGAATAAGTGGAATGAGCACGAAAAAGTAGAAATAACACGAAAAGTGAAAAATAGTGTATCGTTTTAAACTCTTTAGAGCATAAAAACTTTGGAAAATGACGAAAACGAAACAGAAATCTCAGTTCTGGTGCTGATTGATGGAAAAATGGCGCATGCATTGGATGTTTGTTTTTTGCCAATCGGCGACCTTTTGACCCTCAGGTATGAAAGAATACAAGTTAAAAAAACAGGAAACTTTTTTTGTGCATACAATTTAGAGTCTTGACATCTCTTGCTTTCCGATTCTTGCCAAATTTACAGTTTCTAAAGAGAATAATTTATGAATGATTTTAGGCTTAGGATCACAATTAAATTGACTTAATGTGGAAGGTGATCAAAATGTGAATAATAAGTTTATGAACATAAAACTAAGCAGATACCATGTCCAAAAAAGACAATTACATTCGTTGTTCGATAATTAAAGTGAATCTTTTCGTAATCATACAGTGGAGCCATCCCCAAAGTTTTAAATTTTCGAACTTTTCGAGCCAAATATTAAGATTAGTAAATCAGATAAAAGACATAGATGCTTACTTATTGCCAACAAATTTCAACTGAACAGTCTTTGTTTCATTTATTGAGAAATTATTGTTAATATTATTAAAATGTTTAAGAAAACATTTAGGAAGAAAGCACTGGATTGCCGTGTAAGACAAAAACAAGTTTTTATCTCGATTTCTTTGTAAATTAAGAATAATTTATTCTAAAAATCTTGTATCTTTATCTTATATCTTATAGCGACACAATCTTTTTGTTGGTACATTTCATTGTTAAAACTGAATTCAACTGAACGTGTTGCAGTTTCCATCAGTTCAATGAATATTTCCTCTGGGAATTGTGGGCTATTCAGTGGTGGATCCAGCCAAAAATCTGACTACCGCCGAAATGAGATAGAGGGTCGAACACACCCTTTAGACCACACCAATTTTCTGGTCACACCCTGTTTTCTAAAATTATTTTTATTTTCTATAATTTCTTATGTAGAACATTTTCAAAACACAAGTCAAAGTGGCGCTTTTGTGAAATTTGAAGTATCCTTACAACAACCTTGAGAAGCAACAAATTATTGTTTTTATTATTCTGAGGCTTGATATTCTAAAAACATTTACGGCATTTAGCCTAAGCAACACCATAGAATAAGAAAACAAAAATATATCTTTGGCAGAATTTTGGAATGTCGCCTGAAACTCGCATCAAGTCCCGCAATTACCTGTAAAAATCAGACCTGTCGGAAATTCAAAAAGCCATATAAAATTTCTAATTATCGAGAGCAACTTTGTTAAACAAAGAATCATACTTTTGGCAAACTTTGTGGGCCTGACTTTTATTCCTGATGCCTTCTAAAATTTTAGAATATTAGAGTGCAAATCAGAGTCTTATAAAATATATTCCAATTAATGTTTGTGTATCATACAAAATAATGGGTCACATTGGCTTTGAAGTTGTGGTTTGCCCACTTGCAGACAATGTAGGCATCCCCATCCTTCTGTCACGTTTAAGCCGTCACGTAAGCGGCAGTACTACTCAACGGTAGTCAACTCGGTTGTTCATTGGTTGTCAACAAAATTTGTATGCATCCCCCAGGTTGGCTGTGATTTCTGATGATTTGATTGGTCTAGACAGGCTGACTACCACTCTGTTCATCTCAAATCCGCTTTACACCGACTCAACCCTCCTAGCATGCCATGACCTCATCATCCCTCCATAGCGATGAAGATCATTTCTGTCTCTATGACAATTTTAGGTATGTCTCTAGGGAGGAATGCTTGGCTTGCAAGGCGATCAAATATTTTTAATTTTTAACTATGGTTTGATTAAAGTAGAAGAATAAAAATAAAAATGATCCTTGTTTTTTTTAATAATCTGACTACCGCTCGAGCGGTAGTGGCGGTAGTCTGGATCCGCCACTGCTTTTAAGCTCGCTCCGGTACAAAGCGTCGGCACATATTTTGATGGTCTCACTCAAAAGGACATTTGTGGAAAGACTACTAATGTCAAAAGAACACATGAAAGATGTTTCGTTTTCGATGTTCAAGTTTTGCATGAACTCAGCGAACGTAAAAGAAACCTTGATGGAATGTCTTGAATATTTTTGAAGAAGAGAGCCCAAAACTTCAGAGAGCCACTTAGCCAGTTCGTGTTGTGATGAGCATAGACAAGATAGGTCTAAGTGGGACGTTCGGTTTGTGTATTTTAGAGAGGCCATACATTTGTGGTCGTTGAGAGCCCGCGGGTCTTATTCTATCATAAATTTCTGTCGCCAACACTTTTGAGTTGACCAGTTCTAACAAACGTTTTTGGAGTTTCCGCTATAGTTTGGCCGTTTTGTCCTGTATTTTGACATCACCCAAATTAGCAAATTTTTCTTTGTCATGGAGAATTCCCGTCATATTTTTGATGTAGTCTTTTTTTGTTCAAAAAAACTACTCCAGACCCTTTATCAGGTTTTGTAATAAAGATGTCATTGTTTGCCCTCAGAGATTTGGTAATTTGTTAAATTCCAAAGGGTTTGAAATAATTCAAATTACAATTGCTTTGTTCTTTAAATTTCTTTAAATTCGATTTAGTAAAAGATTGAAAATAATTTGTTTGAAGCTGTTTCCTCAAATGTCGAAAGAGTGAAGGATGTTCAAAAAGTTTATCAATTTTCTATGCATGTCTCCTTCAAAATTCGCTCAAGAGCAGAAAAGATCTAAGATGATACCTGGCATAGCTCTGGCATTTTTTGAATGATTTCGCGGAATTTGACTTTTTGGACTCTACATCTGAGTCCATGTACGTTTGAAATAAACAAAGATGAAGAAGATGGCAAAGATAATTTTTGAATGTCAACATATCTGATACCCATATTAAAATAACTTACTGGTGCATATATCCGACAATGTCGTTCCACTTTATCCCGTAACGATCATAAACAACGAGGTCTTTAACATTTGCATGATACTCATCGTAGCAACCAACTTTCTCATAGTTTCTCACGCATGTTGACATTGCACTCCCTGATAACAAAAGTACAAAGTTACATTAATATTTCTGAAAGCTTAGTTGTTTATCTACTTTAGTTAATAGTGAGTGAATATTCAAACAAACATATATACAGCCATAAATTTTAAGCTCCGCTATGCCCTTATAGCATACCCTAGTATTCATAATTAAACATTTTTATTTTGCCAACCGGTAGTTTTCTTGTACTAGCTACAAACTAGGTTCTTTATTAGTCTGATTGCATATTATTCTTTCAAAGACCTTAGTAACTCAAGAATTTTTCGTCACTTTTTCCTTCTATAATGTTAAAGACGTAAAAAAAATTGCATTGAATCTACACTTCTCAAGTGATTTTGCGATTTGCTTAAACAAGTTTTTTGTCCGCTAATCTTATACTGTTTCATATGACTCATTCAATAGCATTTCCATTTCAAAACCCTCTCAAAACAATATTTTCATCAATCAGCTTTTATGCAGTCTACAATTTGCTAAGAGATAGGCAATTTAACTTGAGAATTCAACTTACCATCTACTCTCGTTAATGCAAATGCACAACAGAAAGAAACAAGGTACACGAAGATGTACATAGCAATGAATGTCTTCTACGTATGATATGAATGCAGTTCTCTACAAAGAAGACGAATTTATCCTAAGTCAGTCTACAAAGGAAATCTTTTTAAAAAAATCCCAAAATCCCAAACAACAATATTGGAAACGTCAAAGCCAACTAACACATGATCCATGAGTAGTAAAGTAACTGTTATATCATTGTTTTTGGACGAGGTGTTACTTTGGATTAATCTTTAGATGCATGACCGGTACAGCTAATTGCAGTTCTCAAGCGGTGTTTTCAATCTACTTGGAATGGGGATTGTTCATATGAAGAGCTACATAGCAATTTAAGCAAGGATGAAATTATTTATAGTAACCTTTTAGATAAATTGTATAATACCAGATATTACGAAGCAAAATTTTAGAATGTATACCTCTAATTACTTTTTTACCTCAGACCAACTTTGTGCTACTGCAGGTATCTTCGCTAGACTGAATGCTAACACCTTGTCACGGCTTTATCGATCCCTCCTGCACAATTGAATTGTTTGAATAAGCCAGATACAGTAACAAATACACTGTCTGCTCAAAACAACAGAGACGTTTAGAATACCTTCAAACGGTTAACGATCTCTATGGAGATGTTGGTCTTCCATAATTTTTTGACCACCATAAAAGTTTTAAAAAAACTAATGATATTTAATATTTGTTTCAGACTACCAAACAAAAACCGTTAGCAAATAATGGTAAGATGGTCCTCAGAATATTTTACCATCATCAATCATAAGACTGAAGGTAGAATTCTCTCATCATTTGGACCATATATTTTTGGGCTGTCGGTGCACCAATCGCAAAGGCGGCCATAAATAAAACCCCGACCGTTTTCGAGGGGGTTAAGAAGAAGAAACAGTGGCCTACTTCCGCCGACTAGCACCACGGTGTTCAAGCAAAAGTTGCAGGCCATTCGGCCATTAACTAATGCACGAAGAAAAGAAATAGAAAGTTAACGTGCATGTAAAAACCTGAAATTACTTAGACATGGGTTGGGTTGGCAGGGTCGCAAGAAAAAACCTTTGCTTTCCACAGTCCAATTTCAGGTTGTCTTGTAACGTGCGAGGAAGAAACTATGCCAACTTGGCCGCATACAAGGCACGGCGTACCCTGTCAAATGTTAAACTTGAATAATATTTAACATAGTCTGCAAAATTCATTAAAAATTCATTAAGAATATGCCATTAAAAAGTCAGCCAAAACTTCATGTTTAGAAATCTTCATCATTTTTGTTTTGCTTTCCTGTATCAGATGTAGTTTCAACTTTAGAGTCTAAAGTAAGAAACCTTTCTATTAAGAAACGGGTATGCCTTTAGGAAAGGCCGTATTTGCATGGGGCATTTCACTGCTTGAGTCAAATGTGAAAAAGGCATTGCATTTCCTCTAGAACAAGAGGATCACGTCCCTTCCTGCCTCTGTTGCAAATAGCCTAGATCAAACATATAATTGCAATCTCTATATATGACCAAATTTATAATATTTGCAAAAATGGAGTTAAAAAATGAAATATTGTCACTTTATTGACACACCATTGCTTTTTGTTTGCTTTTTCCTTCATTTGATCGCATATTATTGTGTAGTATATCATAACAAGGAGATTGTAGAAAGAAATGTGGATATTCTCAAATTAACTTTTAATCGTACACAGATCATTTATCAGGACAGCTATTTCTCTTTCTGATGTTTTTCAGTGTTTATCGAAATTTTTAGTTAAAATTTCAAGCTAGTTTTAATGATTCGTTTATCAACAAATTGAGCAAAGTCAAAGATATTTTTGACTAAATAATTGTTCTTCAAGGATGACTTTCCGACACCGAGATAGTGAACGTAACACAAATGCAAAATTGAAGCAGAGTAGCTGATGTATTCAAAATTCATATGTCTGTTACTGTAGATGGTAGAAAAATTATTAAAGTAGAAAAAAGTATTCATTTGTTTGAACTTTTACATTAAAAAACTAAGACTGATGTGTCAATATTAAATTTTACTAACATTCTATTGATCATTGACATGTCACCTAGAAACACTATATGAATAAGAAACTTCTTATTACAAAATCCAGTCCAAGGCAGCCAAGTTTTCAGAGGGAAATAAATACCAAAATGGATTTTAAGAGAACAACACTTCATACTCATGAAGAATTCAAACTGTGTAGTAATATGATAAAAACCTGATTTTACTTTGGGTTGAGAGAATATTTACCATTGCATGCTATAGAATTGCACTTTAACAACATCGCTGAGAATGCATCCCTTACAAATTGGGTCTATATTTTCAAGAGCTAAGAGCTTTGGAGTACATGTTATTAAAAGCAAAAAGAACTAAAATCGACCTTAGATTATACTTTGCACCTTAACTTTAGAACAGGATGACTCTTTTTATGTCTTCTTCAGTGTTTTATTTTAACAACAAAGATTAAAGACAAGTGATTATTTCAGGAATACGAGACGAGTCCTAGAAGGAGTATTAAAGCTGTTACTTTGTATTCAATCTTTTTCACTGCAATGCAGTTTCCTCTTCAAAGAATCAAGACTCCGATAAGAAGGCCATACAAATCAATGCGATGACCTGAATGGACAGCCAGGTGTCGACAACATAAAAAATTTAATGTACTATCTAGAGGCCACACCCATTTCAAAACTTCAATTGTGATTAATACAGAGGCTCTATGAATTCAAGTTAAAATTAATACTTCATTCTAAGTAAGGTAGATGAATGTAAGTACGTCACAAGTTTCCTTAGTAATCAACCGATCTTTGAAATATGTATTTGCCTAATCAAATATTAATTTTTTGCATTTTACGATGTTTCTTGTACAGATTGAAAGAATATCTGGAAATGTAATTATGACGGTAGGCTGTCAATTCAATAAGCAAGTGATGGGGAAGAACATATCTTGCTATAAAACATTATCACCCTTCTGTTTAACTGTAAAGTCCTTTCAGATCTATCATGTCACTATTGATTAGGGTTTCTCGGCAGACTTAACCAGCTATTTTTAAAGGGATAAATTGAGGTCCTATTTGAAAATAACTGACAGATTTCTATGTGTGCAAGTAACTCTACGAGCCTTAATCGTGCTTCATTCAAGTAACTTTCAATCGTGCGATGTTTAAGGCTTTTCGGATGGCCCTTCAAAGCTCAAACACAGAAGCTTTGGTTTTGATAAGTAATTATAATCTATAAATCATGGCGTCTGGACTCTATTTGATATGATTTGTTTTTGCTTTGAGGCATGTCACGAAATAAGCCCAGATTGCCTTATAATTGTTTTTCCCCAATATTGTAGCACAAATTTACATAGAAATAATAAATACGAATATATCAAAGTTATTCACAATTGATTGGCATTGAAAGATGCAAAAGTGAATTTCCTCTGAAAAAGTAAAGTTTATGATAAGAACATTTTTTATAAATTTTCATAGGGAGAATTCTTTGGACTTTAGAAATGACCTGTTTAAGAAGAAGATAAAATAAATGTCAATATTGGACAGGAAAACTTTATAATGGGTATTTAGATCATTTTTAAGAAGAACCTCATGATTGTTAACTTGTATAGAAGATAGCTTTGTTGAAAACTGCATGACAGAAATGGACGAGTTCAACAAAAGTCGTACCTCAAAATTCAATAATGACAACATAATGGGAATAAAAGATTTTAATTCTGCAGCTGCAAGGATTCTGAACTTTTTGAGAAGTCTCCAGATGCACACACAACTTTGTATGATGAAAATGTAAGCAGTCCTTCCTCTTGCAATATTCATTGTCATCGCAGTTTGATCTTTTTGATAAAATGTAATTGTGTTTATTTTACGGGCGTAAATTTGGTTATCAAAGTAAGATTTCGAGATTTATGACGTTAGTCAGCATTGCTGACTTTAGTCAGCATTGTTATTATTTGGAGCAAATGGCATGTCAAGAATGGCATAGCATAGATTTTCCATCAACAGGGTGGCAAAACGACTAAACTTTTCACTAAACTTTTGACCAAACAAAAGTTGAGTGAAATGTTTAGTAAAATGTTTAGTAGTTTTGCCAGGGCTTTAGGCCCAGGTAAATAAGGTAGGCCCAGGTGATTCCACCATCAACCAATTATTAGCAATAACTCACGAAATTGACAGCAACATTGAAGATCGCATTGAAACAAGGGCTGTCTTTTTGATACATTGAAAGCATTCGATAGGGTCTCACATGACGATCTTTTATCAAAATTGAGATCTAACGGCATCCATGGGACATTATATACATTATTACAAAAGTTTCTCATTGAAAAAATTCAACGAGTTGTGTTGAATGGTAAGCTGTTTTTTTGAGAGCGAATTGAGACTGGTGTTCCCCAAGGACCTGTCCTCAGACCATTGCTTTTCTTTGATTATGTAAATTATCTAGAAGATACAACCGAGGCAATGATTTAATTACCTAAACAAAGATATGTCTTCTATGCATGGCAGATGAACTTTTTTTCAGATCATTTAAAGCAGGCAAAGGTGATAATTTCCTCCAGAAAAACTTCCAAAAGTCATAAAAAACTTGGAATGACACTAGAAGTATTATTGAAGCAAAGAGAGTGGTCGGAATTATCCGCTTTCTCTCTTAAAATTTATCCCAAGATGTTCTTGATCAAATGTACAATTTGCATGTACAGTAGACCACATCTCGGGTACGCTGATGTGATTTACCATGACCAAACATGCTTCTTTCTCACACACTAGAATCGACGCAATATAAAGCAGCCTTGGCTGTCAGTAGGGCATGGAATAGAACCAGTACTGACAGACTACTAGAGGAGCTTGGTTGGGAATCCCTTAGCAACAGACAAAGGTACCAAAGACCGTGCCTGTTTTATGGGATTGTCAACGATCAAACTCCTTAGTACTTGGGAGATTGTATTCCAGTGAAAGTGATATACACTATAACTTGTGACAGCGAAGAGTTTCTAGGGAGGACAACGTTAGTACTGCAAGATACTCTAAAAGTTAAGAATATAAGTTATAAGACTATTGGAAAGGTTAAGATTCTGAAATAAGAACATCGTAGACAATATCCCAGTCTAAAAAATCGTTGATTTCTATTACAAGATCACCCAAAAATTCCATGTATGGAACCACCAACAGGCCCTTATAACTAGACTTGGCATTAGGTTTAGTGAACTTAATGAGCATAGATTTAAACACGATTTTGCCTGCCTAGCCCAATATGCAGATGCTACGTAGAAGTCGAATCAATCCCTCATTTCGTTCTGCATTATAATCATTATTTTTGCACCTGCTTGAAGAACGTTTTAATATCGAAAAAATACCATAACCTGAAGATCATCCATGTGTTTAATACTTTATGGTAGTAAAACGTACAACTCAATAGCCAACAAAATGATTTTTGAATACACCGTCTGAAATAATATAAATAAATTGTTTTAATTTATTTTGTGTGTATAGTGTTATTTTCAGTTTGGTGTAACTGCTAGTGTAAATTCTCGATAACCAAGGTTCTTTGCCTTTCACCCCAACAGTTAAGATTAACTTTGCATTGTAGTTGCTTTTTATATTTTAAATTTCATAGGTGTAAAGAAATAAATAAAACAACTTCAAACTTTACCCAAAGAGCTGAACATCTCCTAATTTACTTGTTTTTACTTGTAGAATTCCTAATGTTTGCAAATGTAGTCAATTTTAAAGAACTTCTCAACTTTTGGACAAGGATCTTTAGGGTCAAAAGTCCAGTCTGCAACTTCACATGATGAGTGTCCTGCACAATCGGATTTGAAAAAGACTTGGTTTTGAGGCGCAAATTTCTGGCAGCTGTCAACCCAGCCTGCAGATAATGGCTTGCCACACTGGCTTGAGGTTCTTTTGCCATACGAAACATTCTGTACATCAACCGTTCCCTTGTCACAACTGATAGTGATGTTATGAAGGTCGCATGCATGTAATGTTCGAATGTCACCTGAAAGAGGTTCAGTTTTAATCTTAGTAATGATTTTTGAAAGGAATCTTCGTGATTAGATTAGATGGGGGTTCCATTGTTGGGATTCCATCTTCACCCTCTCATCTATTGTATACAGAACACAGAGAAAATTCCGTCACAATTCTGAGACAGTTGATGTTGGACAAGATATCATTTGGTGATCAAGTCTTGATCTTTGGAGAAAGAGTATTGGTACTTTGGCCTGCACGGCGGTAGGTAAGAGCAAAGGGGGGGGAGGGGGGATGTGATACCAGTCTTTAAACATAATCTGTAATAAAAATGAGGAGTTTTTTGGCCAATCCAAGGGAGAACCCTTTCGTTAATTTTCCAACAGGTCGGCAACTGAAGGATGGCTCGTCCATTTGGGTCCTAGATACTCCCTTGAGCACAACAGCTAACAATGGTTTTGCTTGTTCGGCAAGGTTATTTGTGTTCTTAACAAATAGAAACATCAATTCAATCTTTTTTGTTGACAAGATGAGTTCATTAGGAAATGTATCACTAGAAACAGCATGAAAAGAAATTAAGCACTATTCCTTTTAGATTAAAGATCGAAATGGCTCTCCTATAATTCTATACCTACTAACAAGGGCATAAAGCAGTTGGAAAAACCAAAATAATTGCCTTAACGTCCTTGAGAAGGCAACAGACTATAGGCATCTGAAACATATAATAAAACTGACGGGAAAAGTGTATATCCTTCAATTAAAAAACGCGTACTTCATCAATTGTTCTGGTTAAAGCTTGTGTCCCGTTAGTCAAGCGTTCACGCTAAAAAATTAGCTCTATAGGTAATTGTTGAGAATAAGTCCTCCTTTGCTGATTGAAGGTGTAACAATAGCCTAAGCAGAAAATGGGAATTTAAGTGACCATGGAGATTCATTTGAACATGGGATCTTCAAGACAGAAAATGTAACGTTGATCCTTTTCTTTTGATTTTGGAGGTTTGTTAAACCTATTCAGCAGGCTATTAAAAAATCTAAAAGAAAGTTTAGCGTAATTTGCTGTAATGTAGTCATGGCAACAGCGGATTTTCCTGCTATGATTTCTTGGCAGCTTTCAGTGCTTAATCGATAAGAGAGCAATAACGACACAAGAATTCAAGAAATTAAAGCACCTAGGCTGGCTTGTTACCTTTTCCTGGCTTGAGCTTGTAAATAAATTCAGAAGAAGCGTGTCCCGTGCATTCCGGGTTTTCGGGATAGCACTTTTTGTAGGTCTGGTCACCAGTGCAGCGTTCTGAAGTGGTTTTGCTTGCCAACGAATCCATGTGAGCCTGCGTTCTACCATAGCATTCTCCCCAGAAATGGAGTGCAAAGCCAACATATTGCTCTTTTGCACTTCTTTTTGTGTTCATTTCCCTCACCTTAGCTTCACAAGTGCATGCCAGGCTACAATGAATCAAATTGAAAGATGTTTCAAAAAAATTTGCTTTGAATTGGGATTGATGGCAGCCGCAATAAACACTTGGCTTAGATGTTGCAGTTTTGTACAAAACTCTACAAATAATGTGATAAAAGCACAATGAAATTTAAGAAAAAAAATGTTACTTTGTGAGCTGAAGAAAGAAGCATTTAAAATGTTTATAATGAAATTGGATCAGGATTAAACCGAGATCTGTTTCCTGCAATAGAATACAAAATAAGTCGATCGATGGCATTGCTGGAAATTTTAGAGGTAATGAATTGAATGTGTGAATTGAGGTAATGAATTGAAGACGAGTTTTGTTAATGGCTAGATCATTTCACATTTCGACAAAAGAATCGGACGAAGTGTTGAAAATTTTGACTGTGGAGAGTATGGGCTTTATTTAGATCGTGAAGTAGACTTAGATATTTGTCACTTTTCCGCTTAGTGTTGATATCATAAAAATACTACTTATGATAATTAGAATTACGCAATTTCTTTTCGTTCCAAGATTAAGGCTTTTTCTTTTCCTTTTTTTTCTTGAATGTTAATTTTTGTGATATCTATTCTGAAGATCTGACTTCTATAGCTTGCATGTATTTGTATTCATACAAAGATGATGCTCGTATTTTTAATCTGGGGGTAAAAGAAAAACACGAAAACAGTTGCTCAAGATTTGTCACAAAATTGTGTGAAATTTTCACAATAATTACTATAAGAGTCGCCAATTACGCTTGCTAAAACTTCATTCGATGGCACTTTGCAAAAAGAGACAACTCACCTTTGAAAGAGAAGAAAGAAAGAAAATAAAGAGAATGAGCATGTGAATAAAAAACTGAACATGAGTGTAGCTAGAATATTAAAGAAGATAGAAGTAGCAGATTCATTTGTTTCTAAAGAACTTTAGCATATACGGGCTTCAGATACTGATCTCTCAGATTGCACTTTTATACCTTATTCGTTGCCTTTGAAGCAAATCTCTACAACTAGAAATGAGCTTATTAGCTGTTTTTTCAAATTTTTCAAAATTAACCTTTGAAGGCATGGATCCAGGGACAAATTTTAGCGACAAAGATTGGGGGGGGGGGGTGTTCGATAATAATTGGATGCTGGAGCCACACCATTCAGGTGACTGGTAAATGATGGAAACGCCCATTTTTAAAATCCGGTTTTTGCTTGAAGATAAAGAAAGAAAGAAGATAAACAAATAAATTTTTGCATCATTTTGTTGCAATTGAATAACTAAAAGGATTTTCACCGAATCGAGGCAAAATTTATCGAAGGACTCAGAAATATTGGGGGGTTTCTTACCCCGCACACCCGGAATTTTTAAATTTTACCACACGAGCAAAAAGTAGAAGATGAGATACATTTAAATCTGCAAGACCTGTTAAATCGGTCGCAGATATTCTGAGATATGGTTAGTGAGAGAAAATATTTGTCTTAATTGATTATTGTTGTTTTGTTTTGGTTCATTGGTTTAGAACTCTCACTTCTAAATTCTGAAATTCTAAAATTCTTCATGTCATCATAAGTTCACCATACCATTCTCGTGAATCGAAAATGGCAAACTGTTCTTTCAGATTTCTTATAAAGGATAACCAGAATATTTTTTCTATGACCCATACTATTTTTGAATACATCACCCAATTGTATCTTTCAGGTAACTTATTCTAATTTTAAAGAAAAAGAAGTCGCTTCTCATTTCCACAAAACAGAAACATAACATATTCATTTTTCACAGTCTGTAGTCAGAGTCACATTCAAATCTTTCTGGTGTCACAAGATTAATTTTCGGAAGTAAATATATGTGTAGCTACTTCTGTTGTATACTTTATTCCTTGGACCGGGCTATGCAGGAATTAGAGAGACACCATATTGTATCAACAAAAGCTTTAATATTTATTTACAACCAAAATCACTATTCCATCACAGCATGTTACAATCTCTCCACTATACTGATTTAATTGCTGACGTGCTGCGTTCTATTTCGCTGCGCACGCCGCTGCACAGTACCATTATGGTTAAAACCTTACTTCACAACAACTATTGAAAAAACAACCCTCTTCAAATCACTTACTGGTGCATGTATCCGACAATGTTAGCCCATTTTATTCTGTAGCGATCATTCACAAGAAGGTCCTTTACACCTGCACTGTACTCATCGTAGCAACCAACTTTTTCATAATTTCTCGCACAGGTTGACAACCCACTGCCTTGAAAAGAGAAGTACAACGCTTAGTTCCAGTTTCAAAGATGTTTCGTTCCCTTGTCAAGTATACCTCTGAAGTTGAAACAAGCCGAAGTTTGCTTGACTGAGCTGCTACTGTATTCTCTCTAATGAGCGCCCCTCTCCAATGCACACCCCCACCCCCTAAATATTTAAAAAACAGATTGAGAGCAACAAATCATCACAATAGTCATCAGTCAAAACATGGGTAGCTTCAAATGGGGAAATTCTCTTTTCAATATCAAGAGTTTAAGTTGATTATGTACAGTCAATTCAACCTTTGTAAAGTCCTTGTTGTTCCAAGTACTCTGACAACTGGTCATAGACTACTCTTTCCATAATTTTTGATACGGTAGGCAAAACCGAGATGGGCCAATAATTGTCGATTGACTTCAAACTTCCAGACTTAAAGAGGAATATCACCAACTGCCTTAGTGACCTGTTTATGATATTGGTCAAGGGCTTTGCCAGTACGTAAGAAGCGTCTTTCAGTAGCCTAGCTGGTATATCGTCGTGGCCTGGAGCTTTATTCGATTTTAGTCCTAGAAGATGACGGAGGACCTTTTGCTTAGTGACATGTTTAAAGATGAATCGAGATCGAGTCTGGGCTTGTTCGATCTCGCCTTCGTTTTGCCAAATGGAGCATGATGGTAGAAGGCTGCTAGGCTGCACAGCTTTTTGGCACATGTAGTGAAAGCCTTTCAAAAACCATCAGCTATTTTTTCCTTTTTTTATCTTCCATTTTGCCAGCTATTTTGAAAGACTTTTGAATTTATGTGTGAAGCATTTCCTTGAGGGTGTAACGTTTCAAGAATTTTTCAAAACTGTTTTGGATTTTTTACATTTTCTTCAATTAGATTTTGGTTATACTGGGCTTTACTCTTCCTTATACTTGCAGTCACCTTGTTACGATATTTCTTATAGTTATACCAATCATTATCATTATTACTCTTTTTTGCCTCCATATTGTTGATTTTATCTTTAAATATATACAAAACATGACTATATACAACTATAACATAAATGTAGCTTGTTAGCCCATCACTACTTCAAAAGCTCAATCTTACAATATAGGGCGTAAATATAACACGTAGAAGGAGACTGGGACGAGTAGGAATCCCCCAAGATGGCATGGGCTGCAAAATGTACTGACTTCACAACAAGTCTGATACAATTTGCATACAATGCAAATCTTTAATTTCTTTTTGGCTTGTAACTTTTGGCTGTCTAGTTTTATTTTGTTGACGATATCTTTCTGCTCTACGAAATGAGGGTTTTATTCGAAATGTGATTTCAGACTTTTTGAAATTAAAGGCTTCAACTTTAGAAAAACGGACGAACAGTGGGAAATATGTCCACTCAGTAATTTCATGGCGAAGCTCCTGTGTGTGTACTTGGCACAATGAATTTTCTGGCAATGGTGTGTATGCAATTCATTATTGAAAACAGAGATACTTGATTTTCACTTACCTGCTACACCTGTCAGTGTCAGGGCACAGATGTAAGACACAAGGTTGATAAGAACGTACATGAAGACAAGTGCTTTGATTCTGTTAAAAAGAGAAAAGCAAGGCCCTAAATAAAACAATTTTATACTATAGCATATTAATTTGAGTTCGCAAAATCATAGGCATATCCTGAATATTAGAGCCACTGCTGAAAATACGTCTAGAATGGATGCAGCGTGGTTGCAAAATTAATTAAAGAAGAGAGAAAGTCATTTGATGATATACTTTGTGAAAAACACTACATGCTTCCATGCAACTTTTTCTTCAAAGTAACTAAACATGCTGGAAATGAACAGTTTATCGACGTACCCCGAATCTTTGTTTCTGGTCCAGAAGCAATGGTCTTTAGATGTGACTCAATGATTTATGATTTAGATGTGATGTGACGGTCAACTACTCTTTAGCACTGTCTAGTATGCTTTGCTGTTCCCTCATTATCCAATGGGAACGTTTTACTAATAATATATTGTGTTTTACATAACAACTAGTCTATTCATTTGTCGCAATACAAATGATCTCTTCATAATTCCTCGAAAAAGTAAAAATGATCACCATGGAAATTGCGGATCTTTCCAAGAAAAATGAATTTTTATCTATTACTTCAATTTTCAGGTTATACATTTTTAATTATTTGCTAAACTCAGACAAAGGACACCCTCTGAAGATCAGCCAAAACTTCATTCTTAAAAACGGTTGTGCATTGCATTCCCATTAACCCACTTGAAAAACGGAGAAGTTTAAAAACGGGACTCAGAGTGGATCAGTTTCAACCCGGGTATTATTCAACCCACCTGTGGGTTATTGGTAACGCCAAACATGGGCTCCGACACATGTTGGAAATGGGTGGGGGGGGGGGGACAAAGGCCAAAATTAACACCCATAACCAAAGATTTTGAAAAAATCTCTATTGCCTTGCATGAAAGTTGGGGTGCCATGCCCCTCCGGCTACCCTTTAGCAGAGGCCATGCCAAATCCAGATAACTTTTGGTCCACTTACTACAACAACAGCGTTATACAAGAAATACGAGGACTATTGGTGTAAATGCTGATTTCTCTCACAGCTCTTCATGTTTTGGTTTCTGTTTGTAATTATCTAAATCTGATTTACCTGAAGAGGCGTTGATAAGCCTCGCTGTTTGTAGTTGCAAAAGCCCTAGCCTGCGCGCAGGCTTAACGAAAAAGGCAACTTTGACAGAGATCTAGAAAGAAACAATTTGATAGGGTTTCCTTATAATACCTTTCTCTGTATTCTTTCCGCACTGCGATTTTTTCAAACAAATCAAGCACATAACAAAGTCATTTTGCTGAGCTACGGAAAAATCGGTTGTCCACGATAATTTTAAATTGCGTTTCCCAAGTTCACATCTCTCTCTCTTCACGGCTTTTTAGAAACATGGCTTGTACCAATCCTGAACTTTTCAAACAAACGCGGCGTGTTCATGGTTTGGGCACAGAATAGAGGGTTGGGTTCCAAGCGTTGAACTCGAAGTCGCCAAGTGTATGTGCGCTTAAGTGGGTGCGCTTTATTTGATCTCGTGAATAATATGAATTAATTTCTCTCTTACAACCTGAATAAATACAATGCAGTTCTTTATCAGCTTTGACCCAAGCGCGGGCCACATTAGACAACGTGACGGGCCACAATGTGGCCCGCGGGCCACGCGTCGGACAAGCCTGCATTAAAACATTACAATCCACGAGCCTGTCAATGCTGTCTACATTTCTGAAGATTTCTTTTGAAACATTTAGCCACAAAGATTGCTAGCTTAAAGTGTTCAAGACAGCTATGGCTTATTCTTTCTTGCTGAGCATTTGTATGCATTCCCTGGGTACTAGAACTACATAAATTCGAGAGCGGAAATAGAAGATAGGAGTGGTGAAGCGGAGGAGCGTCTATCTGAAAAGAAGGAAAAGTGGCTCCTCACTCATTCTCGTTTTGATGTTTGGTTACGTTCTGCAAAAAATTCCCATCCAACGCTGTAGAAAATGTTAGAAAAATTTTTCGTGTTAACTAGGGAGAGCTTGAGTTATCAGGTATAACAGCTTCAGCTGACAAGGTTTAATAGCTTTAAAAAGAGGTTAACATGAGCGAAATCTTATACACATGGGCATAAAACAAACGCGGGGCCCCTTTTTGGTCGGGGGATTTGTGTTATCGAACTAGGGTGCCTTAACCTGCGTTGCTAGTCTCAAGAACCCCATCTTCAATCAAAACGAATGTTACCTGAAATTAATATTTTAACTTTTCTTTAAACATCAAACACCTAACCAACTTTTTCTTTAGTAATTTTATTTTGCTTCTCTACCCCTATAAAGATAAATTCTTTTAAAACTTATTCTACTCAATATTTTTTAACACAGGCTACTCATGAACACAGCTCATGAAAACTAATAAACCAGCCGTTTGTTCTGCAATCTAAGTTGTTATCTGGACAACTCAAGAAGGAGAAATACTTGCAAAGACTTTTATGGTTTCCATGACTATTCCAATTTTATTGCTTTCCTTATTTGTTTCAAAGAAAAAAAAAGTGAAATTTTTCAATGCCAAGACACAGCATCAGCTTTTAATAGAAATGATGAACTGAAGATTAAAGGGAATGAATCAGCATAAGACGTCGAGCGCTGCGGGGGGCTTTTTGAAAAACGTGATCAAGCACCCACCCAGCACATGGCAGCGCATTTCATGTGATCAGTTAAGGCGGACCAGTCAAAATTCGCGAATTTGAAATGCCTGGTCAGCAGATATTGACATAAGGGTATACCTAGTCTACTTATTCATTCCCTTTAAGCTGCATGAGCCATAAATGATGCTTATGTCAAATATCTTCAAATGAAGGAATTCTTCAATTTTGTGTAAGACAGATTCTTTAGTTCCTTCCTGGGATTAGTATAACGTACACGCCATTCCACATAGCGTGAAAATATGTTGTATTCTCAAAATATGGCATCCATTTTATCAATTGCATTGGTTTCCTAAAAGAGCTTAGGCCTATTTAAACGCATCTGATAGAAGATTGGCTAAGATATGTTACATGTAGTGAAAGTTTTCAGAGTATTTCTAAAACTATGAAAAATTCTGATTGCGAATAAAGATAATCATTTACAATGCATGCTATGTCAAGTTGTATTTTTTTCTTTTGTACGCTGCTTTTTTTGTACCTTTGTTTGATATCAAGCATGACAATATCTGGTAAAATTATTCCTGAAGACGATTAGGGTCACATCAATGTTGGACTAAATCTAAATCAAAGTTTAGCAACTCTGTTTTTAAAATTTAATGATGATGACACCCTATGGTTAAATGCATTTGAAACCAAACAAAATTTCTCCCTTAGAAAAGAGAAGTCTTTTGTTAACTACCAACTAAGACAAAACTGACTAAAATGACACATCTTTTTATTGGCTTTAATATTTTCAAACTAGTAACACCGATTTACAACGTTGAACCGATATATGCTCTTTCAATTATTTTTTGTAGTTTTTTTTCTGCTGATGTTTTGTTTTTGACATGCTTTCATAAGCTACTTCAGTGTCACTTATAACTTGTAAACAAATTCTGAATATTCATGTCCCAGGCACTCTTTGTGTTCTTCGGTGCATCCATTGTACTCTTCATCTCCCGTGCAACGTTTTGATTGCTCTTGCAAACTGTACTTGTCAAGATCCTCCTGTGTTCGTCCGTAGCATTCCCCGTAATAGTGAAGGGCAAATCCAGTATACTTCTCACCACCAGCCAGCGTATTTGCTAACACAGCAGCCGCACGACACTTGCAAGCAAGGCTTTAAATAAAGCAAGACATTTTGACTGATGCCATTTATTTATAAAATTGACAATGTGATGCTTCTATAGAATGGTAGCCATGGAATATAATTCATAGTAATTGGGATCTCCATTTCTAACTAGAAGCTAATCGGGACAATAGATGCAAGCAAGATAAACATGAATCTCAAAGGCTCTATGAAAAAGTCAAAGAAGCTATCGTTAGGTGATATTCTGGATGACTTTTGAATTTGTCGTTTGTTAACAGAATAGTATGTAAGCATGATGTCTCTACTGTTTTTAAAATTTGTACATTTCAAGCAATCCCCTTAGCAGATTATAATCTTTCATTCAAATCGGGGGTTCAGAGGGACGCAAAGTTAGGGTCAAAAATACCTACCTGCGAGAAAAGGCTACAATAATTGGTATTGCAATTACCATGCTGTTGATTGGTTCATTTGGTTTCTCTGCATTATTGATACGCCTGAGACAAAAACTGTTTCTTAATTAATTATTAGGCTTTTACAAGAGTTGAAATTGATTTATACTTACTGGTGCATGTAGTCTCTAATTTGATCCCACTTTATGTTGTACCGATCAAAGATAAGAAGATCTTCAACTTTAGGATTTCTTTTATCGTAGCAGCCGACTCTGGTGTAATTACGGTCACATGTTGTAAGACCGCTGTCTATAGAAGGAAGTTAAAATACATTTTAAATAATAAAACTAAAATGTATTCGCTTTATTTGATACTCTTTTTAACAAGGAGTTTTTTCATATGTTGGTATTTGAAGGCTCTAAGTGCCTTCTTTGAATTAAGGCTGAAATCAGGGATGTATAATCAAGAGGGCTTAGGTGATGAATGACTCACACTTGCTTATGCAAAGTAACGTGTATCTATGTATTTTTTTATTATAATTTTATAATAAGCTGACTTACCTGCTTTGAAATGAAACGCAAATGTTGAGTCCTTTCCTACTCCAATGCAAACATCATCTGCATCTTCACACAAATCAGTTGTACTTTTCATCACGCAATTTCCACCATGTTTAAGCGCAGCTAGTTCATCTTTCTTTGTGCCTCTGCAGACCCAGTTATATCCGTAGTCCGTTTGGAGTGCAAAGCCTGTATACATCTCTTCACCCGAACGTTTGTTTTGGGATTTCACTTCCTCCCCGCATTGACATGCAAAGCTAGAGTGAGTACGATGATGGTATTAAAGCTAGTAACGAAACCCATACTTCATAGAACCCAAAATACCTAACATGGTAAGCCAGCGATGCTGAAGGTTTATGATAGAAAAGAACAAAAAGAAAACTTTCTCAAGATTTTGAGACGTATCAAATAAAAAAAGGTTTAAAGCACCATGCATATCACAAAGTTGGTCCAATCAAGCAGCGCAAACGCCTTTGGTAGCGCAAAATTTCAAGACAGCCTAGAAAAGCAGAAACAAAACATATCAACATATATTTTGTCCTCGCTTCTTATCAAAGTATGAAGCTACGTAATGGGTTAGTTGTCGCTGATAAGTCAAAAGTAAGGAACCAATCAAATGTTTAATTTTTTCTCACACGTTACTTTAGATCCAGAACTGGGATTTAATTTCTGCTCTGCGTACCTTTAGTCCTAATGCAACGTCTATACTCTTGAGTATCGTCGGACGAAGACTTACTTAATATATCATTGTTCCGCTCTTCCCCTACTATTTTTCAAAGCGGTATTGACCTTCATTATAATGTTCAAAACATTCATTAATCTGAGAATTCTTATATAACTAGATCTCCTAACATTGATAAGAAAACCTGAAAATTTAGATTTGCTTGATAACTTACGTTGGTAAGAACAGTTCAAAATCTTGATGAAATTCTCTTCTTTCCAGTATGATTTCTCCTTTGAAATCTACGTAGCAGCCTCGTTTCTCCATGGCAAACTTACAATTGGCAATCGCTTGCTGGACTGAAAAAGTCATTTCAACATTGAATCACAATCAAAGCATAAGTATAGTATTACAAATTGGAGGAAAAGTTACAAATTACCAGCAATAATCCAATTGCAATAGCCTCAGTGAAGTCTCAGTAAAGTTACAATTATCCAATTATACACTATCAGAAAGTCTAGAATGTATACCTCGGTATGAGTAGGGATACACTACATTGCATGTTAGATATTTTAATTGAAACACAAATAGGCTCACCGTGCAGGACACACAGAAGAAGGCTCGCAACAATCATAAAAGTCGTTTTCATTTTAATCAGAGTGCCTGAAAAGAAAAAAATTGCATTATCGATTGTTATTATCTTCAACGTCTATCATTATCATCTTCCAGACGTTAGTTAATTAAAGACAAATTTTCAGATATCTAGTGTATTTTTACCGAACATTTATCTTCAATATAAATAAATATAAAGATATAAACATATAGGAAAAGAATTCTCAATGCAAACAGATGTGCCATTTTGGAATTGTCATCTTTACCCTAATGTGTATACTAATGTGTATACTTGTGTCATTAATATGTTTAAACCTTTATGATAACCAACTAAAAATGCCACCTCTCTCTCTATGGCTAAGCAAAACCCAAATGATATATGCAAACGATGACAAGTATTGAAGAGCTCATTTTAATTTCCGATATCAAACAGTATCATAAAAGACATATCAGTGTAAAGAAAGAAAAACATAATGACTTATTACTTCTTGAGGCTGCCTACCTGTCCTGCTTCTGGGAAAATTATACTGATTTCTCCAACAGCTGATTGCAGTCTGTACAATACATAAGATGTAAGCAACTTTTTATTGCGTTTTGCACCTGAGGAGCAATGCAAATATTAAAATTCAGGAACCATTTAAATACAATAGAGATTTTTCACTTCAACTTGCTTTTAGTGACTCAAGATTATCCTAAAAGCAGATTCTGTACTTTTAATCCAAGTAGGCTATAGGTTTTTGACACAAATGCAAAATGTGTGAAAAGCTGTTTGTGGCCAAGATAATGGTGATTCATTTTTTATTCAGGTATGAAGCTGAAAAAATACACTTGCAAATCAATATCCGGATTAAAATAAATAAACGTCAATGATTGCACAAAATATCGCACATCTGTTTTTAAAATTCAAACAATTTTGATTCCTATCAAAAGAAAAATAATCGTTTGCAATGAATAATTCCTGAAACGGATCAGAAGAAAAGTATTCTGAATAGAACGCCCTAATCTGCTGAGGAAAGGCAAGGGAAATATGTTAAGCTCTCAATTGCTACCGAATGATATCAAAACGTCACAAGCATGAATTCTAAAATGTTAAGTGGTGTCAGTATGATTCAGCAAAATAGGGTATAAAATTCTGTTCAATGCGAATAAATAGTTCAGAATCTGTCAAAAAAGCAAACAAGGGACGAGGCACAGACATTAAGAGACATTGTTTGTTTATTTACAGGGCCATCGAAAGATTTTTTGGGCCTCGAGCAAAACATGATGAATTCCACGATGATGTTAATAATGCTACGACTTTTGATGTTGTTATGTTGCTAACCATAACTATCTTTGTGAGAACTATAACATAAAAGTCAAGATCTTTTGTAAAAATCTTGATAAATTTCTTTGGAACAATCGGCCTCCTTTCTTCATTTGTTTTGGTACCAAGAATAAAGAATTTCGATCAAGGCAAAATATACTTGAATGCTAATATTTTCACCATCTTCACAGGCCACCAGCATCTGACTGCATCGTCAACGTCAAGGTATTGTAGTCTCTGATGACAGATGAAGCAAGTGCCCAAACATCACATCGTGTCATCTTTCGTTAAGCTCCTTTGCAGTTTTCTTTAAACTCATAAGTGATTGAAAAATCTTGCCCTTGAGAAGCTTGTTTCAACTGTTAAACATTTTTCGGGCCTTTTTAGATGACTTTAACAATTGACATTTACTCTGAAAACATTCAGAGGCAACAAAGTACTTTCTTTGATTCTTTAGGTATTTTCAACCTAGGTTTAATACGTTCGTTACACCTAGCCTAGCGACACTTTTCTTCATTTAAGGATAAGGGTGATTTGATGACTTTGGAGGATAAGGGTGTCTTCCTAGACCCCGTTTACACTGTGCCGGATAAAATTTATCCGCATAAAACTTGTTCGGATCGATTTGCGTTTACACTGTGCCGCACAAATTTTGTCCATTTTGCCCTCCCGTTTACACTGTGCCGGATAACTACAGTCACATGACCTAAATCATGCACAGAACGTCCAAAATGAAGTCTTCTCTGGGCAACAAAATAATAGCAAAATTCCCGCCAACGTAAAAAGACTTCATTCTTTCTTCACAATCATCTCCTTCTCTTTTAGACCAAATCAAAGAAATTGTCAATACAAATTAGGCCTAGTTTGTTTTAATAGTTTGTTCTTGAAACAAAATGACAGTGAACTAGCAAAGAAAGTAGGGAAAGCTGATAAGGATGGCAATTTTACGTGGACTGGCAAGATACTGCACTTTTAACATGAGTTTTTATCGACAATAAGGCAGCCAAGATGGCGAAAGGTCTTGATTGGGAGATAGTGAAAAATAAATTGGATGCAATAGCCAATCGCTTTCGAGCAAGGTACGATGTGCATAAAATTTATCCGGATAAAAGCTATCCGAACTATTTTAATCCACTTTCCTAGGTGAACTACTTTTGTTCGGGTAGCCGCTTTCAAATTCGTGCGGATAGCGTGGGTCCAGTGTAAACGCGGCGCCTATCTGAACTAATTTTGATGCGGATAAAATTTATCCGTCACAGTGTAAACGAGGTACTAAAGTGATATGAATACAACCAGACAAAATTTTGCGTTGCCTGCAGTCATCTCGACTCAACAGATGAGACTCGTAATTTCTAAAGACTCTACCACAGTCTCCTGATAATGGATCTGTAGAGCAGCAACAGGCAATGTTATCCTATTAATCATAAACACATAAATTTGTCTAATTTTTATTTTTTTGCTGTTTACTTAATTTTTTCATTTGGAGACTCTCAGGAACATGCACGAGAATTGCAGGGGTTCGTTGACTCCTTAATCCGTTTCGAATATGCACAGCAATGTGCTTATATGATTAATCTGAAATGAGGTTAGCCAATATTCAAGCCTGGAACCGAAGAATTAGTTAACTTTAAGGTTTTTTTTTCAGAGCATTGATATTGTTTTTTGTCAGCAGAGGTAAGCGGCAGTTTGTTGCTAGGTATCATTTTAAGTTAAAGCCAAAAATTTTCAATAAATAAATTAGTCTTAGATACAATTATTTAGAAAAATTTTGAGAGCAAATAAACAAATAAACATCTCATTCATATCGTGCAGATCATCTCTTCCGAAAAAATTCAGTAACAGTATCAGCATTCATTCTTATTGTAGCCAAAGCCAAAAAACAGGCAATACTATATTTTTTGCTTATTAAATTTGACCTCTGAGAGATTAGGGTTGGGAGCGATGACACGCACATTTGCTGTAACATTCGGATATAAGTTATGATTGTTTAAAATAAATGTCTTGTTGCACTTTTGCACTTAAACTAACATAAATAGTAATATATTCAAAACAGCAAAATAATTTGAAAGTAAATGCAAGTAAAACCAGTAGTTGGTAGTTGATAGTATTTGAAAATCCATGAAAAAATGTATTAGATGCAATATAAATGAAACCACAAAAAGGCAATAGCCTTGTTCGCAAAGTTTGCAGTCCAAGTCCATGTTTTTCTAAAATTTTACTTTATCTTTTAACACAAAGGTTTGTGCAAGTTTTATCGAAATTGAAATCGCTAGCTAGTTGGTAAAGAAAGAAGACAGTGAAGCCAAGGCTACTTACATTTCATGATTATGCAAAGAATGGGTGTCATAGCTTCAACCCATGCCAAAACACCTAAAATACTTCCCTAAACTTTTCATGCATCCCTCTTAATCCGAAACATCCCCCTTAATCCAAAACTATGCTGAATATTTTTATGTTTATGATGTTATGATGTAAGCATTATTTTTTATATTCCAAGTTGTTCTGCAATCAAATATGAATAAAATTTTTCTAATCAGCATTGTTTAGGTAGCAGGGGGGGGGTTGAGTCGTGGGTGTTTGTTGTTGGCAGTTGGGTGGTCCGGAGAAGTAGAAAGGGCGCTCCATTGCAGCTTTCAAGAGGTTCCTGCAAGGATTGTTGATATAAATCGTGAATTTCTTGCACAGGGAGATAAAAAATCATTGCTCTCGTGCTTTGCCAGCAGAATTATTACGAATAAAAGGATCGTACCTAAATAATTTTAAGTGATAAGTAAGGTTTTGGCATGTTAGTGGAGTATTTACCATACAAAACTTCGCGATAAATTTAGGGAATGTTTTATGTTAGCGAATGAAAAATAGCTTTATATACCCTTGTATATTGGCAGCAAGTTAACATAGTATTTATCAGTCAATACAGAAAGAAAATATAGTCATGTTGGGCAAACCCTGTTGCTAAAGTTTAATATCTCTGAAGAATAATAATTAAATAACATGTTCTTATTTGTCTGGAGAAACACTAAGCACAGAATTTGAATAACCTCTGCTTTCTGTATTCAAATACTTCCCCCGAAACTACATACACCTCATTACCATTATGTTATAACACCCTGTCGTATTAAAGATATTTATTTTGAATACATTTCCATGTGCATCGACGTATCAGGCTCAGTCATGTTAAGTTTTATCTTGGAAAAATCTATAATGATTTTTGCTTAAGAATTTATGCCCTGTTGGCAATGCAGAGCTATGTTAAAGAAATTTTCACGCTTCTACAGATTCTTCAGGACTCATTTCCTCACTTCTCTAAACGTGTTTAATCACTTACTAAATAAACCAAGCGAAATCTCCCTAAGCAATCACCGGCTTTGATTGGTACAAATTAAGTCTTTTTGAAACTATTTTCCCCTCAAATAGATTGTAAACAGTAGAGGTCAAATCAAAGCTGCATGTTGCCAGGCTATCTAAAAATTCTTAATGCGAATGTCATAGATTTTATTAATAAACTTTTCCCTTATTTTCTTCGTCAATTTTACTAAAAAGAAGATACTTCGGCTTTTAAAATCGTTTGCAAACACTGTTTTAATTCTTATTCTTCTTTGTAATATATAATTGAAAACCTGTTTGCTTCTGCAAAATCATCAATTAAGCTTTTTTTGTTGGAGAAGGCAAAAGTAAATCTATAAAAGCCTTGGATTGTATGTAGTGGAAGTCACTTTGTCCTCAAGAGGAAGAAGCGTTGCTCTGCATATGTAAGTATTCGAAGACCCAGTACTATTATTTGGTTGCATTTGCTTTTCTATGAAATTGCTTATTATATCTATTAACGAATTCGTAATCAAGATAATCAATCATGCTGATACCACTACTTTATATACTATATTCCATTGCAGAGGAACAATACAATCATGCGATTGCTGAGTGTAGTTGTGCTTTGCGTTGCTGCTCTGCATTGCACAGACGGTATGCATGCCTAAATTTCTACGTTATTCATTTTGATAGGCTTTGTAGACAGCAAATACGATGGCACGGGCAGTTGCAACTTTCAAACTAACTGTAATACTTTAAAGCGTACTTAATATTGATTTTCTATCATTGCAACCTCATGAACCCATCTGCAGTATACGTTATGTTGTAAAGTTGAAATTATCTTTCTAGCCCCATTTACCACAGCTCCTTTGGTGCAGCGATTGGCAAACGTTATTTCTTCTTCTTTTCAGCTATTGCCTTGAAAACATGCGAGCGTGACTATAAGAAAATCGGGTGTTACGACGAATACTACACTAAGAAAAGTGATCTCATTTTCTCCCAACGACACCAAGTTCAATGGGGAGACATAGCGGCATTTATGCATCAGTAAGTTGCATGCCAAAACATTTTTATTAAATTTTTTTGCCTATTATTGCTCATTGCAACCACGAAAGATCTGTTAAAAATAACATAATGTAAATATGCCTTACTATGCAGAATCAAAATACAATGCTGCCTTTTTGAGCTTTCTGATAGCTTGGTACTAACTTCAGTATGCAGCCTGATATGACCATCAGGGGGATAAAGCAAGACCAATCATTGTATAAAGTCATTCGGAAGCCACTGACTGATTCTAAAAAATATTCTAAATTGCAATTCATTCATGTATTTTGTACATTTTGAGAATGAGCTTGGCTATGAATATTGTCATTTTGTAAAAAATTGAGCAAATAAAAAGCAGTTTCTGTTCTTTCGCGACAGCCTGGCCTGTACGTGCAACGAGGAGGTGAAGAAGCAAAATGAGAAAAGAGCGACTTCTGGAAAAGAAGCTTATGTTGGATTTGCATTGCATTACTGGGGTGAATGCTTCGGCAAAACAAAGTCGCAGACCGATGCTCTGATGGGCAAAGACAAGTCACACCGCTGCACAGGCAGTCAAGACTATGCTGGCTGCTCTGACGAGCACGCTGAATGTGTTGGACATGCCAATGCAGAGTATGTTTACATGCTGCCTTCAAAATCTGAAGAAAGTAAGCAGCTGTTAGTGAAATATCTATTATAAAACATATATAAAGACAAAAACGTTACATTTGAAAGAAAAGTGGACTCTTATTGTCTCTCTTCAAAAAGCTGAAACTGGTGGTTGATTAAGAAAGATTTACGTTTATAGCCAAAAATCATTACTGCGATATGCATTCTAACCTCAATTGCTGCAAAAAGGTGACGATCTTAGCCAAATCTTTCCAAACCCCTTCTTCCCACTTTTACAATATTTTATTTGATTTGCACTTGAGCATTTCTTTAAACTTCAAACCCCTGTTGTGTGCGTGTATAGAAAGTTCTTTGTTTGTTGCTTCCTATACTAAATTTTGAGACATCAAAAATCTACAAATAAGTGAAAGTTTGAAATTCACCGGTTTAGTGACATCTATTGGCAAGATCAAACTCGTCAAAGCAATTCTTCTGTACAGGCTGCATTCAGGCATGTAGTATCTGAAGGATGCTGGACCCAAAGCACACCCTCAATGAACCCCGTCAATAATTAGCTATGGCGTGATCTAGCACGCCGCTTTGACAGAATAATGCAAAAAATCATTGCCCCTTGCTCACACTCAGTCTTTTTACCATTTAAGATCTATTTACCGCCCTTTAAAAAAATATCGTTGGATCATTCGTGTCTTTTTTATCTTTGAGAGAAGTAAGTAAGATTAAATCAATAAAATTTTGCTTAGGTGTTGATGGTGGTTATACTGAATGGATGGATTGGACCTCCTGTACTGGCAGATGTGGACAAGGATACAAAGTTCGGGAAAGAACATGCACAAACCCAGTACCAAAAGGCAAGGGAAAGGATTGCAGCGACCTTGGTAACAGCACAGAAATAGGAGCTTGTGACACAGGAAAACCATGTCCAGGTAATTTAAACTCGTTGGCTCAAACGAATTGAGAATGTCAATACAAGGCCAGGCCAAAACCAATAACGGTTGTATGGTGTGAATATTTATCAACACTTAACTGGTTAATTACGTATATGCAGGGACAACAGAACTACCAAGAAGCAGTGGGGGCAAGCTTCAGGAAAAGGGCATTGAAAAAATATTTACCCCCTTCTACTAATTCTTTTGAATCGCCTTTTATTCGATCTGTTTTCACATGCTTTGAGAAATGTCGACATGAATAAAGCAATACAATCATAATTTTATATGAATATGTTTGATAACTAAAACAGGATGATGACAAGAAAACTTTTATAAAAGGAAATTCTTGCCTCTTCACCCTCCTGACTAAAGATCAAGAGGGGTGGATGCCCAACGGTTTTACACAGTTATGTCCTGTTATTACTATGTGTCAAAAATAGTAGTATGCCAATAAACAAAGTGTACACCCTGAGCTATAAGGCAGTGTGTCTGTTACGTCAACCATATGCATAGTTAATAACATAAAATCGTCAATCAGGATCACCTAATTGTGACTGGTTTAATGATATAAGTTGAACTACTTTTTAAGTGGATGGAAAATATGGACCATGGAAAAATTTTGGTGCCTGCACAAAATCTTGCGGTGGTGGAAACCAAACAAGAACAAGACCTTGCAACAACCCAGCACCAAGTCACGGTGGCAAGGAATGTGAAGGACCTGCATCAGAATCGCGTCCTTGCAATGTTGAAAGCTGTCCAGGTATCTATTCATAATGTGACTGATTTTTTTAACGTCAATTGGTAAATGACATGATAATGTAGTATGAAGTTTTGTTTGGTAGAGGCAAAAGTGGACTGGCCCACCTGGACAACAAAAATTTTCCCGGTGCCCCTTTTGTCTCAAGCTATTTTTCCAAAAGCTTGAAAACTTATTGACAACGGAGGTAAGTTATCTTTGTACAGAACTAAAAAGTATTACTCAAAAGCCATCAACTGTCAAAAGTACTTTGGCTTATAAAGCTTAGTTTCACCTTTTAATTAAGCAAAATTAAGATTAATTGCAAAGGTCCCCAATCCCTGTTATTGTAAAATCAATTAAAAACAAAAATTTGATCTTAAATCTAAAATTCTTAAATCCTAAATCATGGACTCTTAGACTTATACCAACTTCTTTTGCTAATATTTATTTATATTTTCATTCATACAACTAAAATCAGTACTGTTCTTGTTATGAGCAAAATTGACCAAAAGACCAAAAATTACTAGTAAAACAGCTGATTGGCTAACAGATTTAGACAATTAATCACTTTTCACTTTGCAGCTATGCAAATGGATATATCTATTTTTCAGTTGATGGAAAATATGGACCATGGGGAAGTTTTGGTCTTTGCAGCACGACTTGTGGAGGTGGAGTCAAGAGAAGAACAAGGAGTTGCACTAACCCAAGTCCAAGCCATGGTGGAAAAGAGTGCGAGGGAGCTGCTTTGGAAACACTTTCATGTAATACCCAGAATTGCCCAGGTAACATTTAGTGACAGGTTTAAGCAAATATCTCAATTGCAGTGTCTCTGCCCTTTTTGAAGAACGGGATTGATTGACGAGGAAAAAAATGGTTATAGGGTGAAATTCTTTGCAACTAAAGAATGCAGCCTCAACTAATCTTACAGCCTCGTTTTTTAATTTTCCTCTTAACCTCGTTGTATACTATTGACATATGCATTCTAACCTCCATTCCCTGGAAAAGGTGACGATTCTAACCAAATTTTCCCAAACCTGTATATGCCTTTTTGGCTTAGATTATGGTTAATCATCATGCTTTCAGTCATGATTTCAGGACAATGTAAAGTTTTAATGCGTGGAAGGGATATGACCGAAAAAATCAATATTACGAACATTTGCATCACGAAAACCTACACGTACACTAAATTATGGCCCTTGATCCAAGTCAAAAATTCAGTGCAAGGAATTGTGAAGCATTTTTTAAAATGAGGCCGTAATTGTTGGGGAGACGAGCGAGCGAAAGTCTTCAAATGAGTGAGGCAACCCTCCGTCCTGGATTCAGAGAGCATGCGTAATAATAACTTCGTTCTGTGCGCATGCTCTTTGACTCCATGATGGTCTTCCAATTTCCCTTGTTTCGAAAAGGTATTTTAAGAAAGGAATGTATTTAAAAACAAACCTTCTTAAAGGATATCAATGGTTGTTAAGGCGCGTTATTGGATACAATAAAATAGATTTGAAAATGGTTATCAAACTTTGATAGGGAATTTTCGAAAAAAAGGCGATTTGAAATGAGTCGAAAAGGAACTGTAACAGAACAATAACAGACTTTCATAAAAGGAAGCCTGAGAGAAATATCTTATTTACTTTGCCTTCCTTTAAACGGTTATGCTCTGTTTCAGTAAATGGAGGCTACTCAAGCTGGGGAGGATATGGCAGCTGTAGCAAGAGCTGTGGGGGTGGCAAAAAGACAAGAACAAGATATTGCAACAATCCTTCTCCCAAATATGGAGGTGAAGGATGCGGTCGATTTGGGTCTGCAACACAAACCGCCTCTTGCAATACTCATGTATGCCTTTCACAAGAATACACTAAAAGGGTGTGCGAAGGTGGTAATGTTCACTTGAGCTGCGGAGGCAGCTCGCGAATAACGCTAACCCACGCACTGTATGGAAGAAAAACAAAATCGATATGTGGAGGCTCTTCGTATTTCTGGAGCACTAATTGTGGTGCTGGCAGTTCGTGGTCAAAGGTTCATGAGTCATGTGAAGGAAGACAATCGTGCTCAGTGGGTGCGAGTAATTCTGTTTTTGGAGATCCTTGCCGGGGTACACCGAAATATCTGGAAGTCAAATTTAGATGCAAAGGTTAATACTCTGTGAAGGATGTTTGACAGTCTCATATAGCAGCTAACTTTGTAGAAGGTTTTGAATAACCAGCTACTTTATAGAAAGCAGCCCTTATACCTATAGCCTAATTAGTAGCAGCTTATATACTAGCTGAAAATAAAATCACGTACATATATAACATTGTCTTTAAACTATATTGAGTCGTATAACATTGCTCTTCAACTATATTGAGTTCTATAACATGACTGAAATTCTCTATCTGAAAAAAATCTTATGCTAGATTACTGAAAACAATGGCGGCGCCAGCCACTAACCAAAAATATTTAAGCCATGCCCTTTTAACCAACAGAAAACGCCCTTTTACCAAAATCTTTTGTTATGGGTTTTAAATTTTCCCTTGGCCCCCCCCCCCGCTTTTCAACCTTTGTCGGAGCCCATGATAGGATTACATCATAAAAAGTACGGTGTCAAAATATTACCCCTCCCCCAACATTTTCTCATCGAATTTAGACGAAATACAAATCGGTTCTGCTGAGAACTGGGGGGGAACGTGTCCCCCCAGTCCCCCAGAGGCGCCGCTACTGACTGAAAAACATCTCATGCTAAAAAGCTCTTTCTAAAAATCTTGAATATCATCTTCAAAAAACAATTATACTTGATTTCTGTTCAAATAAGCGCCCGGCTCGACATTTATTCGGACATGGGCGCTAATATTTTCCTAAGGATAGCTTCTTCTTCGAACTGGGCGCTTATTTGAGTCATGGGTAGTTTACGGAATTTGTAAGGCCTGGCAAGAAATAGGCGCTCTGTCTACATGAAAGAAATTCAACATGTTTTTTCCACTATTCGTGAAAATGATGGGCTAAGTATACAATTGGGGCTCGCGGAACTATAATTACCAGAGTAAATGATAAAGTAAAAAACTTGACAACTATTGATAAAGACTAGGTTGCAGCTTGCATCAACATCAATCTTTTGGCATTGAGTCGTTCGGTTCTTTGTCATAGAGCTAAAGTTCATTAAACAATGGTGTTTGTTTATATTTAATAAAAAAATGTAATCTCCAAAATGCGAAGATAAACAGCACATTAATCAGATTTTAACCTAGATTGATTCATAGCAATTTTCAGCAATACCAATTCAATTTCAAATTCTGCTGCACGCGAATGAAAAACCGCATTCCAAATTGAAAAGTCAGTTGCTCTGGTAACAGTAAATGCGGAGGAGATCAGAATAAAATGGCATAACCAATAAACAGGGGTGCTGTTCAAAAAAGTTAGGAAGATGGGCAGCGCTGTGAGCAAATTCAAAGGCCAGACGCATGATCTCACCCTTACCACACCAAATATACTTGCAAGTGTATTTAAACTCTCTGTTTTGTGTAGAAATCATTTAAATTATTCGATGACACAAATAGATTGATAAGAAATTTCTCATTCGTGAGAAATCTATAGTAAAATAAAGGGTTGCCAACAAAGAATTCGTTCAACTAAATATGAACTCACTTGTTAAGGCAAGCTAAGCACTGATTTAGTCATTTTGAACTTTAAAAAGGGGGCTGAGCCCCAATGAGCCCCTCTCTCTCCATGGCACCAGTAAGGCAATCTTTTGAAAAGATATCTTGCTTACTCTACTGACCAATCAATATCTTAATAATAGGAACTTCCATAGCCTTGGTGTTTTCAAGCCAAGCAACAGATAACAGGAGAAATGGATCGTGTGACATCTGACGCATTGGACCCAGCTCACCGCCCGCCAAAATTGAGATGAATATAGTCTATGTTATTGCTTTCAACGGGCAGCAAACATGAAAATTTTGACAGAGAAAGGGCCAAAATGTTGAAATCGCCCTTGACGACTAATGGCTCTTGAAAATGTGATAACGTTGAAAACATTAGATCAGCTTTTTGCTTGTTACAATATCGTGACAGCGAAGACTAGTTATAAAAAATTTTACTTCAAAGTAAATTTTAGTATTATACTTCTGCAAAAAATTTTGCTTTTGATACATTAATGAAACTACTACAAAACTTAGCGATGGTTCGATTGGCAATTTTGAAAGCATTTTCTTTCTATTCTCAACATACAATTGATGTTTGGCGGGTTAATCAAATGGTGGGTGGCTAGGGAGATGAACAAGCGACAGCCGTGTAATTTGCGTTACGTTATACCTAACCACAAAACCAGTCCAGTAAAAAACAGCAACAGTCCTTACCAAAAAACTAAGCTGGATACTTCCTAGGTTTGTCATTTACCTAGGGGTTACCCTGTTTTATCCATAGTTTGTTTCAAAATGCAGACAAAACATGGTGTGATCTTGGATTAGACAGGCTTAAACAAAAGCAGAAGCCTTTTCTTCCTTCGAAACGACATCAAATGAGGCTGGAGGCTTCTTCTGACAAGTCATCTTCTTTCGGTGTACGGCTGCTATTTTTATTCCTTTACCTTACCAGAAAATCCTTGAATGTTACAAATTTTGATATTGAAATGAATACCATTCCAGAACTCGTTGTGATGTTTTATGCTTAGCAAAACTTTAGATTCAGAGTTTTCATGGCACTAGATTCAGAGTTCTAATGGCACTACAACTTAGGATCTTTGGGGAGCTTTTATAATCCTAACATGTCGAACGGCATTTTCTTGTAAATTTAGTCTATAGATCCTATTAATATTTGGCATTTTTTGCAAAAAGTGGAGGGCCTGTTGCAAACTTATTCGAATATTGCCAAAAGGATGCACCCGACCAGTTGAACTGGCGTGGGCAAGGGGCTTGAAAAAGGCCAACCTGCAACCAATACAGTTATGTCCTTGGAAAAGCTTGATACTAATCTTAAAATTTACAAGGACGGAGTTACCTGGGCCGCTGAGAGGGGGCGATGAAAATCTCGTACACTTTTTGGTAGAAATCCTATTGTTTTATCTAAAAATCCCTTGAAATCATTTTGTTTTCGTAGAAATCTCGTACGCTATATGCAAGAGCGGATTGCTCTTCGGATGGGGCAGGGATAGGCAAATTATCAATTTGCCAAATAACGTAGATCATCGAATTGCCCCATCCCCCCCTCGAAAAAGCCACCCCCTCGAGTAATCCCCACCCTAGAACTACAAATTGTCAATAAGCCCTCCCTCGGCGAGGAGTTATCTAAATAGGTTGAAAATTAAAACGATCAAACAAGCTGGAAGCGATCCAATGGATGCAGAGACAAAAAACGATTTTTTGTGAAAAAGATAATTTCCGAAAAAGATGTATTCGAATGCCTCATCTGCGCTGCTACGTTGTACAACCAAGAAGAGTATTTACCAGCATTTACATGACATTCACAAAAAAAGTAAGATTGTTTCTTAAATATTATATTACGAAAGCTCTTGTCAACTTATAACTGGGAGGATGTAAAGAGCTTTAACCTTCTAAAATATTTGGTCAGAATAAGAAGTCTATGGTTGAAAAAAGTAAGTTCTGTTCGTTTAAAACGAGATATTTGCAGCATATCGGAAAGGCAAGAGCCTACTAGATTAAAAGTTTTGGAAAATCTAAGATTTTGTCTGTAAACATAAAATTTTGTGGCCGAAAAGATGTAAGGTGACGACTAGAGTTTAATGATGGGAAAATTTGTCTTTGCCACAGGCACTGCGTTGATGTTCTAGAAAATATCTTTTTGATTTTATGTTTGCAGCAAGGCAAAGGGGTAGAACTGAGACCCCTTTTTGATTTTTTTGCCGTGGTTACTATAACGGGAAATGAGTAGAAACAACTAGGAAACAAGTAGAAACGACTTGGAAAAATTTTAACTGCGGCACAATTTTATTTATTTAGTGGAAATCCTGCATTTATAGCTATGATAGTAGATGTTGAAAATGGTATTTTTATAAGAGGAATTAAACTATGAAAGCGTGATATGTATTGAAGCATTGTAAGAGCAAATCTCACTGGCATTGGGATTAAAATGAACCAACTACTGGGAAGGTCGAAATAAAGCAATTTAAATTCTCGGCTAATAATCAAGCCTCCCCCCTGAAGGCTTAAGGGTTGTCTTGGAAAAAAACTATAGTGCTTTTTGCTTAAAGGCAATCTGTCTCGTTGTGGATTGGTTAACGAGAACAATAGCTGGAACAATAGCCTAAACACGATTCCAGCGCTCCGCCATATTTTTTACAATGCGATAAATTAAAGGGGGACTGGAAACAATGAAAATTCATTTGTTCTTATAACCAATCAACGTCGTGACAGATTGCCTTTAAGAATTTCTGCCCTGTTCAGGGGCGGATCCAGCAAAAAACCTGACTGAGTTCCAGGCCAAGGCTAGGGTCAAGGCAAGGCAAAGCCAAGGTTGACACTCCTGGAAAATTAACGATATCTCCTGGTTTTATCTCAAAGGCTTAATAATCTTCTAGAATGCTGCGATGGTTGTGAGTATAAGACATTTGCAGTCGCCATTTCGAATTCAATGTTTTGCAGTTCCACAATAGAACGGAAACGATAGGTAGCCAATCAACTACGGGCCATTTTACAGCTCTCTTACAAATATGGTATCATTTCCGACCGAGTTCCAAACAAAAAGTTTATTGTTTCCGTTCAGTCACTTCCGAGGCACAAAACGTTTATTTCCGAGTTCTAGGATTGACTGCTGTTGTCCTCCACAGCGTCTGGAAAATCGTTTCCAAATCACGACAGAGAAGAAACTGGCAATTTTAAGATTTTGAAGAGACTGAGAAACTTAGAATTTTTAGGTTTAAATTTTTAATTTAAATATTACTTGTTTCAGGAAACACTATTTTTAGCTGTATGTTGGAAAACTGATTGAGTTCTGTGCACCAAGGAACTCAAACTGGATCCGCCTCTGCTGTTGGCAATGCAGAGCTATGTTAAAGAAATGTTCACGCTTGTACAGATTCTTCAGGACTCATTTCCTCACTCCTCTAAACGTGTTTAGTCGATTACTAAATAAAGCAAGCGAAATCTCCTTAAGCAATCACCGACTTTGGTTGTTACAAATTGAGTCTTTTTGAAACTAATTTCCCTTTGAGTAGATTGTAAACAGTATGTGTTAAATCAAAGCTACATGTTGCCAGGCTATATAAAAATTATTAATGCGAATGTTATTGATCTTATTCATCAATTTTTCTTTTATTTTCTTCATCAATTTTGCTCAAAAGAAGATTTTTCGGCTTTTAAAATCGTTTGCAAACACTGTTTGAATTCTTATTCTTCATGATAATTTATAATTTGAAAACTGTTTGCTTTTTTGAAAGGGCTTCGATAAATGTATAAAAGCCATGGAATGTATGTAGTCGAAGTCACTTTGTCATCAAGAACGAAGAACCTTGGATCTGCATATGTAAGCATTCGAAGTGTCAGTTCTTTTATTTGATTCGCAGTTGCTTCCCTATGAAATTTCTTATCATATCTATTAACGAATTCGTAATCAAATTATCAATCATGCCGTTAACAAAAATTTTGACATCATATTGATCATCACCTAAAATTGATAACTTTCATTTTGATTCATTAATAGGGTAAAAAGTGGGGCTTGTTCTAAATCTTTCGAACTGATACATCGTTGCACAAACATGTTTTTCATATCTTTAAAACATGCATATGATAATAAAGCTCGATTCTAGTAAATTTCGCATTTACTATCTTACTTTATCTCTATCTTACTGTATTTCTGTTTTTCATAGGAACAATACAGTCATGCGTTTGCTGAGCGTAGTTGTGCTTTGCATTGCTGCTCTGCATTGCACAGACGGTATGCATGACTAAATTTCCATATTTTGTAGACATTAAAAAGAGCACGGGCAGTCGGAAACTTTCAAACTCCATGTAATACTTTAAAGCGTACTTAATATTGATTTTCTATCATTGCAACCTCATGAACCCATCTGCAGTATACGTTATGCTGTAAAGTTGAAATTAATTATCTTTCAAGCCCCATTTACCACAGCTCTTTTGGTGCAGCAATTGGCAAACTTTACTTCTTCTTCTTTTCAGCTCTTGCCTTGAAGACATGTGAGCGTGACTTTAAGAAGATCGGGTGTTACGACGAATATTACGCTAAAAAAGGCGACTTAATTTTCTCCCAACGAGACGAAGTTCTATGGGGAGACATAGCGGCATTTATGCATCAGTAAGTTGCATGCAAAACCTTTTTTATTAAATTTTTTTGCCAATTATTGCTCATTGCAAACATGAAAGATCTGTTAAAAATAACATAATGTAAATATGCCTTACTATGCAGAATCAAAATACAATACTGCTTTTTTGAGCTTTCTGAGAGCTTGGCACTAACTTCAGTATGCAGTTTAATATGAACATCAGGGGGTTGTGAGGATAAAGCAAGACCAATCATTGTATAAAGTCATTCGCAGTGGCGGCTCGTGACTTTCACAGTTGGGAGGGCAGACCATCAATATTGCGATAATCGATAGAAAGGTCGAGTTTGCAAATTTTTCACTGTATTCATGGTTCGATGTTGATCGTCATGGAGCGCAGAAGAAAAAGCACATATATATGTGGTTGTTGTTTAGCGATGATGTCATTTTATGGGCAAAATTTTTCTTGCCCCGAATTCCTCCAAATAAGCCAATCACAGGCCCCGTTTCGCAATGCTCGAGGTCGAAAATTAGCTTGTGCGCATGTCGGCTAGGGGCAAAAAAAACTTTGCCCGTAAAATGACATCATCGCTCAAGGCACTAGCGGGCCAGAAGCGAGGCTAAGGACGAGACGGGATAGCAAGGAGGTTTTTCTAGAAGAGATACAAACTTATATAATTAACCACAGTAAGACTATCTTCAAAATTAAATATGAATATCAAGAATATCATTTCCTTTGAATCTTTTTGAGGGGGCATTGCCCCAGATGCCCATTAGCAAGAGCCGCCACTGGTCATTCGGAAGCCACTGACTGATTCTAAATAGATTTCTAAAAATGAACTTGGCTATGAATTTTGTCATTTTGTAAGAAATTGAGCAAAGCAAAAGCGGTTCCTCTTCTTTCTCGACAGCCTGGCGTGTAGATGCAACGAGGAGGTGAAGAAGAAAAATGAGAAGAGAGCGACTACTGGAAAAGAAGCTTATGTTGGATTTGCATTGCATTACTGGGGTGAATGCTTCGGCAAAACAAAATCGCAGACCGATGCTCTGATGGGCAAAGACAAGTCACACCGCTGCACAGGCAGTCAAGACTATGCTGGCTGCGCTGACGAGCACGCTGAATGTGTTGGACATGCCAATGCAGAGTATGTTTACATGCTGCCTTCAAAATCTGAAGAAAGTAAGCAGCTGTTAGTGAAATATCTATTATAAAACATATATACAGACAAAAACGTTACATTTGAAAGAAAAGTGGACTCTTACTGTCTCTCTTCAAAAAGCTAAAACTGGTGGTTGATTAAGAAAGATTTACGTTTATAGCCAAAAATCATTACTGCGATATGCATTCTAACCTCAATTACTGCAGAAAGGTGACTATCTTAGCCAAATCTTTCCAAACCCCTTCTCTCACTTTTATAATATTTTATTTTATTTGCACTTGAGCATTTCTTTAAACTTCAAACCCCTGTTGTGTGTGTGTATAGAAAGTTCTTTGTTTGTTGCTTCCTATACTAAATTTTGAGACATCAAAAATCTACAAATAAGTGGAAATTTGAAATTCACCAGTTTAGTGAGATTTATCGGCAAGATCAAACTCGTCAAAGCAATTATTCTGTACAGGCTGCATTCAGGCATGTAGTATCTGAAGATGCTGGACCCAAAGCACACCCTCAATGAACCCCGTCAATAATTAGCTATGGCGTGATCTAGCACGCCGCTTTGACAGAATAATGCAAAAAATCATTGCCCCTTGCTCACACAAAATCATTGCCTCTTTTTACCATTAAAGATCTATTTACCGCCCTTTAAAAAAATATCGTTGGATCATTCGTGTCTTTTTTATCTTTGTGAGAAGTAAGTAAGATTAAATCAATAAAATTTCGCTTAGGTGTTGATGGTGGTTATACTGAATGGATGGATTGGACCCCCTGTACTGGCAGATGTGGAAAGGGATACAAAGTTCGGGAAAGAACATGCACAAACCCAGTACCAAAAGGCAAGGGAAAGGATTGCAGCGACCTTGGTAACAGCACAGAAATAGGAGCTTGTGACACAGGAAAACCATGTCCAGGTAATTTTAACTCGTGGGCTCAAACGAATTGAGAATGTCAATACAAGGCCAGGCCAAAACCAATAACGGTTGTATGGTGTGAATATTTATCAACACTTAACTGGTTAATTACGTATATGCAGGGACAACAGAACTACCAAGAAGCAATGAGGGCAGGCTTCAGGAAAAGGGCATTGAAAAAATATTATCCCCTTCTATTAATTCTTTTGAATCGCCTTTTATTCGATCTGTTTTAAATGCTTTGAGAAATGTCGACATGAATAAAGCAATACAATCAGAATTTCATATGAATATGTTTGATAACTAAAACAGGATGATGACAAGAAAACATTTATAAAAGGAAATTCTTGCCTCTTCACCCTCCTGACTAAAGATCAAGAGGGGTGGATGCCCACCGGCATTACACAGTTATGTCCTGTTATTACTATGTGTCGAAAATAGTAGTATGCCAATAAACAAAGTGTACACCCTGAGCTATAAGGCAGTGTGTCTGTTACGTCAACCATATGTATAGTTAATAACATAAAATCGTCAATCAGGATCACCTAATTGTGACTGGTTTAATGATACAAGTTGAACTACTTTTTAAGTGGATGGAAAATATGGACCATGGAAAAATTTTGGTGCCTGCACAAAATCTTGCGGTGGTGGAAACCAAACAAGAACAAGACCTTGCAACAACCCAGCACCAAGTCACGGTGGCAAGGAATGTGAAGGACCTGCATCAGAATCGCGTCCTTGCAATGTTGAAAGCTGTCCAGGTATCTATTCATAATGTGTGTGATTTTTTTAACGTCAATTGGTAAATGACATGATAATGTAGTATGAAGTTTTGTTTGGTAGAGGCAAAAGTGGACTGGCCCACCTGGACAACAAAAATTTTCCCGGTGCCCCTTTTGTCTCAAGCTATTTTTCCAAAAGCTTGAAAACTTATTGACAACGGAGGTAAGTTATCTTCGTACAGAACTAAAGATTATTACTAAAAAGCCATCAACTGTCAAAAGTACTTTGGCTTATAAAGCTTAGTTTCACCTTTTAATTAAGCAAAATTAAGATTAATTGCAAAGGTCCCCAATCCCTGTTATTGTAAAATCAATTAAAAACAAAAATTTGATCTTAAATCTAAAATTCTTAAATCCTAAATCATGGACTCTTAGACTTATACCAACTTCTTTTGCTAATATTTATTTATATTTTCATTCATACAACTAAAATCAGTACTGTTCTTGTTATGAGCAAAATTGACCAAAAGACCAAAAATTATTAGTAAAACAGCTGATTGGCTAACAGATTTAGACAATTAATCACTTTTCACTTTGCAGCTATGCAAATGGATATATCTATTTTTCAGTTGATGGAAAATATGGACCATGGGGAAGTTTTGGTCTTTGCAGCACGACTTGTGGAGGTGGAGTCAAGAGAAGAACAAGGAGTTGCACTAACCCAAGTCCAAGCCATGGTGGAAAAGAGTGCGAGGGAGCTGCTTTGGAAACACTTTCATGTAATACCCAGAATTGCCCAGGTAACATTTAGTGACAGGTTTGAGCAAATATCTCAATTGCAGTGTCTCAGCCCTTTTTGAAGAACGGGATTGATTGACGAGGAAAAAAATGGTTATAGGGTGAAATTCTTTGCAACTAAAGAATGCAGCCTCAACTAATCTTACAGCCTCGTTTTTTAATTTTCCTCTTAACCTCGTTGTATACTATTGACATATGCACTCTAACCTCCATTCCCTGGAAAAGGTGACGATTCTAACCAAATTTTCCCAAACCTGTATATGCCTTTTTGGCTTAGATTATGGTTAATCATCATGCTTTCAGTCATGATTTCAGGACAATGTAAAGTTTTAATGCGTGGAAGGGATATGACCGAAAAAATCAATATTACGAACATTTGCATCACGAAAACCTACACGTACACTAAATTATGGCCCTTGATCCAAGTCAAAAATTCAGTGCAAGGAATTGTGAAGCATTTTTTAAAATGAGGCCGTAATTGTTGGGGAGACGAGCGAGCGAAAGTCTTCAAATGAGTGAGGCAACCCTCCGTCCTGGATTCAGAGAGCATGCGTAATAATAACTTCGTTCTGTGCGCATGCTCTTTGACTCCATGACGGAGGGTTGCCTCACTTTTTAAAAAACTTTCTCTTGCTCGTCTCCCCAACAAGTAAAATAAACTGTTGCATTGGGAGAAACTAGAATAACATCGATTGTTTATAGCGGGTGCTCCATTTAGGTCTTCCAATTTCCCTTGTTTCGAAAAGGTATTTTAAGAAAGGAATGTATTTAAAAACAAACCTTCTTAAAGGATATCAATGGTTGTTAAGGCGCGTTATTGGATACAATAAAATAGATTTGAAAATGGTTATCAAACTTTGATAGGGAATTTTCGAAAAAAAGGCGATTTGAAATGAGTCGAAAAGGAACTGTAACAGAACAATAACAGACTTTCATAAAAGGAAGCCTGAGAGAAATATCTTATTTACTTTGCCTTCCTTTAAACGGTTATGCTCTGTTTCAGTAAATGGAGGCTACTCAAGCTGGGGAGGATATGGCAGCTGTAGCAAGAGCTGTGGGGGTGGCAAAAAGACAAGAACAAGATATTGCAACAATCCTTCTCCCAAATATGGAGGTGAAGGATGCGGTCGATTTGGGTCTGCAACACAAACCGCCTCTTGCAATACTCATGTATGCCTTTCACAAGAATACACTAAAAGGGTGTGCGAAGGTGGTAATGTTCACTTGAGCTGCGGAGGCAGCTCGCGAATAACGCTAACCCATGCACTGTATGGAAGAAAAACAAAATCGATATGTGGAGGCTCTTCGTTTTTCTGGAGCACTAATTGTGGTGCTGGCAGTTCGTGGTCAAAGGTTCATGAGTCATGTGAAGGAAGACAATCGTGCTCAGTGGGTGCGAGTAATTCTGTTTTTGGAGATCCTTGCCGGGGTACACCGAAATATCTGGAAGTCAAATTTAGATGCAAAGGTTAATACTCTGTGAAGGATGTTTGACAGTCTCATATAGCAGCTAACTTTGTAGAAGGTTTTGAATAACCAGCTACTTTATAGAAAGCAGCCCTTATACCTATAGCCTAATTAGTAGCAGCTTATATACTAGCTGAAAATAAAATCACGTACATATATAACATTGTCTTTAAACTATATTGAGTCGTATAACATTGCTCTTCAACTATATTGAGTTCTATAACATGACTGAAATTCTCTATCTGAAAAAAATCTTATGCTAGATTACTGAAAACAATGGCGGCGCCAGCCACTAACCAAAAATATTTAAGCCATGCCCTTTTAACCAACAGAAAACGCCCTTTTACCAAAATCTTTTGTTATGGGTTTTAAATTTTCCCTTGGCCCCCCCCCCCGCTTTTCAACCTTTGTCGGAGCCCATGATAGGATTACATCATAAAAAGTACGGTGTCAAAATATTACCCCTCCCCCAACATTTTCTCATCGAATTTAGACGAAATACAAATCGGTTCTGCTGAGAACTGGGGGGGAACGTGTCACCCAGTCCCCCAGAGGCGCCGCTACTGACTGAAAAACATCTCATGCTAAAAAGCTCTTTCTAAAAATCTTGAATATCATCTTCAAAAAACAATTATACTTGATTTCTGTTCAAATAAGCGCCCGGCTCGACATTTATTCGGACATGGGCGCTAATATTTTCCTAAGGATAGCTTCTTCTTTGAACTGGGCGCTTATTTGAGCCATGGGTAGCCTGCGCCGCAGACCCAATCCTCCAAAGAGAATAGGGTCTGCGAACAATTGACCCGAAGCTTGTTCTTGCATAAATTACTTCCATGAATCTGCGGAAGTAATTTATGCATTGAAACCATGGAAATAATAACAAGTTTTAATTTATGACTCAAGTACTCGAGGCATCGCTGCTGACCGACAATCTTTCAAAATGTCCGCCTCCTTTACTGACAAGAAATTTGAGGAGGCTTTAGAACTGGCATGTAGAAGGTACATGTCAATCGAAAACTTGTATGAAAATTTACATCAGGAGCAGAAAGTGGCAATGCGAAAACTACTTGGAGGAAATGATATATTTTTCAGTGCTCCTACGGGCTTTGGAAAATCATTGATTTTTCAGATTTTACCGATAATGACTGACATCATATTGGATCAGCTCCCAGGAACAAGCACAGTTATTGTGATATCACCGTTAAAATCGCTGATGATCGACCAAGTTTCCTTTTTAAATAAAGAGACAGGAATTACGGCCATCGCATTGACAGACACAAATGAGATGGAAAGCGATGAATTATTTGAACATATAACTGAAGATTGCATATCATTGATTTACGCATCACCTGAAACTTTGCTTTCAATTAAACGTTGGAGAACCATTGCATCATCGCCTGCATTTAGAAAAAACTGTGTTGGCTTGATTATTGATGAAGCACACTGTCTTATTCACTGGTAAGTGGGAATTTTTCCGTCACACAATATATAGGCCTAAGGGATAGAATCATGATGGTGGGCTCGAGACGAGATGCTCTTTTAAACTTGTTGCTTCGAAATCTGGCAAATACAAAACCCAATAAATTAACTAAAAATGAAAACATTTTTATCATTTCAAAATATATAAATATACAATTTTCCTAGTATCAAGCCAGTTACATTTTTAAAAATCCGATTAAATTTATGGAACACCAATATTATTCTATTTCAGGGGAACTTCATTAGATTCAAATGCACCATTTCGACATTGGTATGGAAAGCTTGTGGAATTAAAATCACTTATACTCGAGAAAACACCAGTAGGAGTTTTCACAGCAACTGCAACGAAAGAAACAAAGTTGTTGATTTTTGAAATGCTTCAATTGCATGCTGCAAAAACTTTTTGTGTAGAGAAAAATCCAGTTCGACCCAATATAATGTACATATTTGAATATGTCAATAAGAATAAAGGCTTAGATGAGATTTTTCAGCCAATCATTGATGAGGTTTTACACTGTAAGACACATATGAAAAGGACAATTATATTTTGCCAAACAAGAAAACAGTGCTCTATTTTATTTAGAGCATTTTCAATTTCATTGGGGGAAAAAATTTTTGCCAGTAGTGAATTATTGCCAAGTAACCGATTAGTGGACATCTTTCATGCAGGAACCCCAGAAAATGTGAAATCACACGTTATTAATCAGATGGCCAAATCAGAAAGTTGTTTGAGAGTACTCATTTGCACAGTTGCATTTGGGATGGGCATAAATTGTAGAGGTTT